TGTGATAAATTGGGCCAGTGTTGTTTGCAAGCAATTGGCGACAAGTTTACAGCTCCAAGTGTAGAAGTGAGGAATTAATTCAGGATGCAGTCTGGTCCTAAACGGCAGGGGACTCAGACTGGTAGGGTCCCAGGAGTCTCTTGTCTGCCGTTCCTGGTCAGGGAACCATATGATAGAATTGTGGGGTACCTGAAAAGATAAGAAGTATGAAATATAAATGACCTTTATTTTAAGAATGCGGGGACAGACCCCCGATCCCCTGGGGCACGGATCTCCCCAGCCTCGGCAATCTCTCTGTGGGACATGTGGAGTCGGGGCATACATGTAGCTTAGGGGCATGTGCCTGAGGGGCATTAGGGATGCACAGGTATCTCATTGGTATTCATTTCGTGCCAGAGCAAATTCCTAGAGGTGGGGAAGATAGAGTCACAGGTAAATTCCTAGGGGTGGGGAATATGGAGTTCCTTGGTTTTGCCTCTAATGCTTAATGGCTACAGTGTCCTGTCTCGGCCATAACTCTTTCAGCAGGGACCCTACCACAACAGGGTTTCACTAAGCTACTAAACTGCCCAAGCTTGTACTTGGGATCCTCCTGCCTCAGCCATGCAGAGTGTTTGTGTGTTTTGTTGTTGTTGTTGTTGTTTTTGTCTTTTTCCTTTTTATCGGTACTGGGGATCGAACTCACCACTGCCTGCTTGTAAGGCAGGTGCTTATGCCACTGAGCTAAATTCTCAGCTCCCACACAGAGTGTTGGCACTGCAGGTATGTGCCACCATGCCCACCATAGGGGGATGAGGGTACTAGGGATCAAACTCAGGACTTTGTGCTTGCCAGGCAGGTGCTTGTGGTGCTGAGCTAACTCTCCCAGCCCTTGTTTTATTGTATTCTTGATGATTAACCTTTCTGACTGGGGTGAGATGGAATCTTACAGTTTTGATTTTACTTCCCTAGTGGTTAAAAATGAAAAATGGGCATTTTCCCCACATATCTATTATTGGCCATTTATAATTCTTTTGAGAAGTGTTTGTTCAGTTCACTTCATTATTTATTGATTATGCTATTTAATTTTTTTGAGTTTTTCTTTTTTTTTGGTTTTTTTTTTTTTTTTTTTTTTGTCTTTTTGAGACAGGGTCTCGCTATGCCGTTCAGGCTGGCCTTGAGTGTACTTTGTAGCCCAGGCTGGTCTCGAACTTGCAATGATCCTCCTGCCTCAACCTCCTGAGTGCTGGGATTACAGGCATGAGCCACCACGCCCAGCTTTGAGTTCTTTTTTTTGATTTTTATTTTTTGGTACCAGGGCTCAAACTCACAACCTTGCACTTGCCAGGCAGGTGCTTATGCTGCTGAGCTAAATCCCTGGCCTTTGAGTTTTTTATATATTCTACATTAAAAAATCTTTTGTCAGAAGAGTAACTTGTAAAGATGTTTTTTCCCCATTCTGCAAGATGTCTTTTCACTTTATTAGTTACTTCCCTTGATGTACAGAAACTTTTAAATTTTATATAGTACTATTTGATTGTTGCTATTATTTCCTGGGCTATTGGAGTCCTAGTCAGGAAGTCTTTGCCTACACCTATAGCTTTGAGTGTTTCCCTGTTTTCTTCTAGCAGTTTTAAAGTTTCAGTTCTTATACCTAGGTCGTTCATCCATTTTGAATTGATTTTTGTACAGGGTCAGAAATAAGGATGTAGTTTCAACCTTCTACAAGTGGCTATTCAATTTGCCTAGCACCATTTGTTAAAGAAGCCGTCTTTTTTTCAATGTATATTTTTGGTTCCTTTGTCCAGAATCAGATGGCTGTAATTAGGTGGACTTTTGTTCTTTTCCTGCATTATCTATTCTTTTCCACTGATCTATATATCTATTTTTATTCCAGTACTATGCTGTTTTTGTTTCCTTGGTTTTACAGTATAATTTAAAATCTGGTATCGTGATATCTCCAGCCTTGTCCTTTTTATTTAGAATTGTTCTGGCTATTCTGAGGCCTTTGTGTTTCTATCTGAACTTTAGGATAGTTTTTTATAGTTCTGTGAAGAATGTCATATTTTCCTGGGGATTGCATTGAATCTGTAGATCACTTTTGATAATATGGCCATTTTTACAATATTAATTCTGCCAATCCATAAACATGGGAGGTTTTCCCTTCTTCTGGTGTCTTCTTCAACTTCTTTCTTCAGTGTGCCTAAATTTTCATTGTAGAAGTCTTTCACCTCCATGATTAGAGTCATCCTTAGGTATTTTTTAAAAATTATTGTGAATGGAACTGTTTCCCTGATTTCTTTCTCAGCTACCCTATTATTGGTATTTAGTAAGCATTTAACTTTAATGTTGAGTCACTATTCTGCTACATTGCTAATTAAATTTATTAGCTTTAAAAGGTTTTGCTAGAATTTTTAGAGTTTTTTAAGTGTAAAATGATATCATCTGCAGACAAGCACAATTTTACTTCTTCTTTTCCTATTTGGATCCTTTTTATTATTTTTCTCTGGCCTAATTGCTCTAGCTAAGTTTTCAAGAACTATGAGTTGTAATAGTGAGGATGGATATTCTTGCCTTGTTTGTGATATGTAGCCCTTCTCTTGTTTGACTTTTTTTCCTATTTAATACTATGCTCTTTTATACAATCTGGTGAGGATCTGAAGCATGTGGAAATTTTAAAAATTGGGCTCTTAAATTAAGGCATGCTATATTTTCCCAGCTTAGACCACTAGAAAGGATGACTGAAGTATACAGAAAATAATATCTACTATATCAAAACCATGTGACCATTGCCCTCTCCACTCAATCCACTAGATCTATTTACTAAATACCCTAGTAGTTATTAAATACTAGGCACTGAAGCTACAGCTGCGAACAAGACAGTCAAGGGGACTCACTACCTTCAGAGTTTGGGGGGGGCGGGAGGGGCACGAACTAATACATGGATCTAGACCATACAATTTTGGTGAGCAGTATAAAGAAAATCAATGATCTGAGTGACAAAAGGCTAATTTAGTTTGGATGCAAAGTTGCTTCTCTAGAGATGACATCTGGTTTAGCCTTCAAAAATAAGGAGGCAGGAGCCTAGGGTATGGTAAAACTGACCAGGGAAGTTGACAAGAAGTGTTAACTACAAAATTCCAGGCACAGAACAGTTCCTAAAGTCCCGCACCAGACTTCTTGCAAGAACTCAAGCAGGTTTCCCATAAGTAGACCTAGCTCTGACCAGGAAGAAATACAAAATGACAGTGGACATTGAGGTTTTGCTAATGTAATCTCTCGCTGTAGGCCGCCCTTACCCTGTAGAGTGTATTTTTCTTTTACTTGGCCCAAACTCATCTGCACAGACTGACTTTTTCCTACTTTGAATGAATGTAAAACCCTGCTGCCATTTGTACTTGTCTTGACCAACAATTTGTTCAGCACAAAAAAACCCTAGAAACCACCTCTCTAAAGGAGACTCTAATATAAGAGAATGTAACTTCCAACCTGCTAGATGTCCAAAATGCGGAATTAGTGTTCTCTAAAATTGAGGAATGAATTCTAGGAACAAAGAAGTTTAAGAGTAGGAAGAATTTGAGAGAAAGGTGTAGGAGGCTGGAGATTTAGCTCAGCTGCATAAGAGCCTGCTTGGCAAGCATGCGGTGGTGAGTTTGATCCCTGGAACCAAAAAAAAAAAGGAAAGAAAGAAAGATCTAAGAAGTATAGAAGGAGGCCAAAGTGGGTTGCCTGCCAACCCTGCTTCTCAAGGGGGTTTATTGAACAAAGTCACAAGGTGAGGCAGGTTTAAGGCGGGTCAGAACTATTATCAATCAGTAAGATTACAAGTACAGTCGCTTAGGTAACATTGATCCAATGGAAAATCATTGGAATAAAACTATGGTCAAGCAATAACATTACGAGACCCTTTGGTAATACTGATTAAGTGGAGATCAAATGGAGGAAGCAAATTTTAGAGCAAGCCACAGGGGGCAGCCATGATTTTCCTGGAAGAGGCAGGTTAAGGAGGTTTGGTCCTTTATCCCAAGGTGATGGATGTCTATGCAGAATATCAATCACTGCTGTTCAACCCTAGAAGTATATGGGTGAGTAGCTCTTTTTTTGTTGCAATCTGGTCTTTTTTTGTTGCAATCAGTAAGCCTCCAGCCACAGCTGACTTTTGCATTTTCTCTCAAGGGCTCAGCCCTATCTGCCTACTATTCTATCTAGTTTAGTTACCTATAGTAACTCTAACATTCCAAACCCCAGTAAGAGGAGCAAGTCCTCCTCATTAAGATGTGTAAGAATATCCTGAATAGAAGTAACATCTAATATTGGCACCAAAGGCCTAAAGAGATTTCATTCCCCAAGGAACACAAAGGCAGATCACAGTAACTGAGGGGAAGTGGCACCTGATGAGACAGGGTGCCTGATTTATGCACTTAAAGAGTGGATCAGTCAGATGTGATATGTAAGCCTAAGAGTAATGTAACAGGCCAAGACTCCGTGGGAAATGTGCTGGAAGCTTGTGGCACAACTAAAAGGAAAATTCTAGTGTTCTAACTTCAAGGAAGGGTTACTTACTGAGGTAAGTATTCTAAGCAGGCTTACCTAGTAAATGTCATGTGTCACGGTGTTTTAAACGCTGACGATGGACAAAAGAGGTCTTCAGTTTTACCTCCTTGAACTGAGATTAAGAAACAAAAACAAAAACGTGTCACGGTTTTGAAGTCCAGGCTCCAAGTGCTAAATTCCTCAAGACGTCTAGAGTGCAAATGCCCCAACCCAAGACAACTTAATTTGCACTGCAACTAACATAGACATATGAGCGGGGTGCCCGTCAACTTGCACCAAAAACACTTCTACACTCTTCTCCTCCTATCTTCCCTTCTTGCCTTGCCCCACAAGCCCTCCTCCTCGCTTCCTTACCTCTAAGCGCCCCAGGATCTGCGCGCCCGCCGGAGCAGGTTCGTCTTCAGAGGCGGTGCTTGACGGAGCCCAGCCCGCCCGCGACGGCTCCTACTGCGTCTGCGCCGCGGACTCCCTCCTCCCCGGCGCAGGGCTGGGTTTAGTTCCCCGGAACCTGACTTGTGCTTCCGGGTCAGAGCCATGGCGGTGGCAAATTCAAGCCCCGTAAACCCGGTGGTGTTCTTTGATGTCAGCATCGGTGGCCAGGTGAGATACATTTGGCCGTCCAGACCAGCACCAAAGAGAAAGTGCACGGCCACGATGAATTCATCATTCCAAGGAGAGAGAACTCTTGAAGTCAGAAAGTGAAACTACACCAGAGCCTACCAATTTGCCAGGCTGGAGGGAGGAAGGGGGAGGATGAATCTGGCCTACCTTAGCGCTGGGCGTCTGGAGGGACCAGGCAGAATGAAAAGTTAGGCCACAGGGGTGGAGGTAAAAGATACCGAGAAGCCTGGGAGTGGGGGAGCAACTAGTCGTGCTCCTGTCTCCGCAAGCCCTTCACAGGCGTGGTCCGAGCCTTCTGACTGTCTCATGCTCTTTACAGGAGGTTGGCCGCATGAAGATCGAGCTGTTTGCAGATGTTGTGCCCAAGACAGCCGAGAACTTCAGGTAATGAGGAGATGCAGCTGTGTTGGAGTAAGCTGCGTCAGAAGCCGGGCCCCAGTCAGTGAGTGGAATCGCCCAGCTCCCTCTGTCGTCCCCTCACTGCTCTTGAGTTCTGGGTATTAGCTTTTTGCCAATGGTTACCGTTATTTTTCCCGTGTGAACTTGTTAAGCTGTATGCCTGGGTGCCTTGACATCTGACTGACTGGCTAGTAAGTTTCAGGCTCCAGTGCCTATGGCGGTTCCCCTCTTGAGATTAAAGATGTTCACACCGGGGACCTCATGGCGACTAACTCGTTCACTCTTCCCTTTTAGGCAGTTCTGCACTGGAGAATTCAGGTCAGTCTCAGATGTTTTTTACTTCTCTACCTGCTTCTGAAGGGTGTCCTGGGGTTGCATTTGCTAAGCATGGGCCAACTCTTAATTCATTTACCCGTCTCTCTTCCCATCACCTTTAGAAGAAACCCTTTGATTCCAGTGTGTTGTAAACTTGAAAGGCCTGTGATTACCTGTCATCATTCCAATTCTCTTTCTTTTTGGTTATAGAAAAGATGGGGTTCCAATAGGCTATAAAGGAAGCACCTTCCACAGGTAAGGCTTCTGACAAGCCATTCTAAGACTTTCAGAAATATAGTCATCCCTTGGTAGCTGTAAGTGATTGCTTCTGGGATCTCCCACCAATACCAAAATCTGCGAGTGCTTATGTCTTTTATTTAAAATGCCGTGGTTGGGGTGAGGGTTTTGTGGTAGAGCACTTGTTTTAGCACTCATGAGACCTGAACTTCCAAACACCATAAAAACATTTGCACATCCTCCTGTACGCTAGTAATCATCTCTAGATTGCTTACAATACCAAATCCACTACAAATACTATGTGAATAGTTGGTATACTGTTCTGTGGGAATAATGACAAGGATAAAAGATTTGTGCCTGTTCAATAGAGATGCAGGGTTTCCATTCCCTGAATATTTTTGGTCTACAGTTGGTTCCCAGGATAGGAAACCTGTGGATATGGGTGATCAGCTGTACACCTTTGTGGGGATTAGACTCTTCAAAAGAAGATAAAAGCAGTCGGGGCATAATCCCACCTTTGGGATGCTGAGGCAGGAGGACTGCTTAGAGTTTGAGCCAAGCCTGGGCTAAAATAATGGGCACAAACTGAAATGAATGAATGAATAATTGCTGAATGAGTGAATGAAAGAAACTAATACCAGAGGCTAATTCTTAGATCTCAATAAGAAATGTTTTTACAGACAACTGACTTGAAAATTTATTAAATGTTCTAACTCTCCTTGTACTCCCTACTAGTTTATATATTTAAAACAGAAACTACTTACTATGCCAATATCTTGTCCTTTTCATGCTCTTGTGTCTGTGAATGTAGGTTTTTTAAAAATACATTTGTAGTCCTCCAGTGGTTGTTCCTTATACATAGTTTTTTGTTTTGTACTTTGTTTTGTTGTTTTTCTTTAGACAGCGTCTCGCAGTGTAGTTCAGTCTGGTCTTGAACTCATGGCAATCCTCCTGCCTCAGCTTCCCAAGTGCTAGAATTACTAATATGTGCCACCACTCCCAGCACTTACAACCTAGTTCTTAAAATGACCGAATATGATATCTAAGGATAGTCCCAATTCTCTCAGGCCATTGGAAGGGAAGTTTAGCTACATTTAGCTTCATTTTAATATAGAATCCTGTGGTAATGATGTTAACATGTGATTGTCAACTTAAATATTAGAGATTCCCCAAAGAATAATGATGTTTACTTGGGAGTAGCAGAGCATTGCAATGTGAGCACATGTGCCATCATAAACTGCATATTTAAGGAGGTTGAGGCAAGAAATTTTTAAAGGCAAAAATGAGGACAATTACATAAAAGGTTTTGAAACAATAATTTTTAGCTACAAGTGATCAATAACAAGGTTAGCTCTAGTCCAGAATTAACAAGTGGTTGTTGGGTAGATGTCCTGGCAAGAAGTATGACTTATGTGAAGTTGTAGTAGCTTTTGTGCAAGGTTGTAGGTCTGGCAGAGTCCTACTATAGCTTTATTATGGCTTATTATAGTTTTCCTATAGCCTACTATAGTCTTGTTATCAGACAGTCATCTGTGAGAACCCTTCCTTCATAACCTTATAGTTTATTCATTTTTGTTAGGGTTGACACAAGCAACTCCATTTTGATACCAACAACTTTCGTATAACTCTAACAAGAATTTTAGAGTAATGGTCTCTAATCTTCAACATAGTCTCTAATCTTCAACAACACTCCCTATAAGGTAATATGCATTACCTATGTTCTGTAAAGGAAGAAAAGAAACTAAGGCTAAAAAAGACTAAGGACCTTGTGTAATAGCAAATAGGTGTTCTGTTTGGTTTTGTTTATTGCAAACACACTCTCACTGTATAGTTCTGGTGGGCCTTGAACTCACTATGCTGCCCAGGCTGGCCTTGAACTTACTGCCATCCTTCTGCTTCAACCTCTCAGAGTGTTGGAATTATAGGTGTGCACTATCATGCCTAGCTGGGCAGTATCATGCCCAGCTAGCCAACAGTTATGAGCCCTTAAACATAGTCCATTCCACATATATTCTCTTACTTTTCCTCAAAATTTACATTAAGTCCTTAGGCTGCCTTTTGCTTTGGTGGTTATTCCTTCCTGAAAGAAGTCTCTTCCTTTTGTTTTTCAGGTATCAGATTGTGCATTTAATGCTAAATGCCCTATTTACAATAAAAAGTTTGTGTTTATGGTTAGTAATCCTTTTAGCTGACTTGTTCCAGGAGAGACTAATTATTTTGTAAACCAAGGGGATAAATACTGTTTTACAATGATTGCAAAAGATAGTAGGTAGTGAGAGTTAAGTATGATTAGAGAGCCAAAAATGAACGTTGATAATATTCAGTGTTACTCTAATACTACAGTGAGTAAATCAATATTTTTCTAAATTGTAGAATTTTCTTTCAAGATCCTTTGTTTTTCTGTTTCAGGGTCATAAAAGATTTCATGATTCAGGGTGGAGATTTTGTTAATGTAAGTACTATTCTAGCTGGTCAAAGACTGACAGGTTCAGTTTTTGTTGTTATTGCTGCTGCTATTACTTTTGCTACAGGAGGCTTTAAGAACAATAGCTCAGTTTGATGAAGGCAGGATGACCTCAGGGGTTCTGTTAAGGTTTTAGTCTTTTTTAGCCTTAGTTTCTTTTCTTCCTTTACAGAACATAGGTAATGCATATTACCTTATAGGGAGTGTTGTTGAAGATTAGAGACTATGTTGAAGATTAGAGACCATTACTCTAAAATTCTTGTTAGAGTTATTATCCAGACTTCAGCCTGCTTATCTGAAAAGCAAGGAAGATAATGATGCTTATTCCACAGGATTGTTGGGAGAGCAAAGAAATAATGCAAGTAAGATTAGTTTGAGCAAAAATCAGGAGTTTATGATAAAGTGAGTATTACATGGAGCCCAAAGGAAACAATGGATCCAGGAACTACAAAACCACATGGAAACAAGGGTCTTTTTTTCTGTTTCTCTATTCTCTATATATCTGTGCTATGCTTTCTTTCTGTCCTCTAGTCTTCCTTGCAGAACAATCACCTCTGGCTTCTAGTTTTATATGATACAAATTCAACCTTAGAGAAAGCACCTGTCTTACTTCCAGATTCCTAGAGAAGGGATTCTAATTGGCTCAGTGGGAGGTGTTCTTCCCTGGTCCAGTCAGCTTTGGTCAAGAGGATGGTACTCTGTATAGACTAGCCTGCTAAGGACTTACCCACCCTCATAGGCAGTGTGGAGGGGTAGAGTAGCAGTCATTGAAGTGGGTATGTTTATATACTACCGCCATGGGGGTCTTTGGGAATGTCAGGGATTGTATATATGCGATCACTGTTCTGTTGCTCCCTACTTCGCCTGTCTTAACTGACATTTTTAGAGATGTAGCTATTACTGTACCATCCAGTCTGTGTCAGGCCCTGCCCAATGTTTGGGCTTGTGGTCGTCTTCTGTGGTTCTTGCTCTGATTCCGAGATAGGACCAAAGAAGTTTGGTATTGGAGGTGATCAAAAACAGTAAGAGTAGGCTGGTGACGAGCAGTATTGGGGATTAAACTAAGGGTCTCCACAGCATATACTAGGCATATCACTGAACTACATCCCTAGTCCTTACACTGTTTTGAGACAGGATCTCACTAAGTTGTCCAGTTAACCTTGAGCTCGGGCTTCTGTCTCAGTCTCCAGACCAGCTGGGATAACAGGTTGAGAACCATCAGGCTTGGCTCAAAGTAGACTTTTAAAAAATTACGCTTTAGGTGTGACAGTATCTTCCTTTGGTTCCTTTCACTCCAAGCTTCTAACACTTTCCTTGTCTCTACCCAGGGAGATGGTACTGGAGTTGCCAGTATTTACCGGGGCCCTTTTGCAGATGAAAATTTTAAACTCAGGCACTCAGCTCCAGGCCTACTTTCCATGGTAAGTGAGGTTCAGTCAAGGCTTTGGGTTAGATTGCTAGCAGCTGGCTTCTGGGCCCTCGTGGAAGTTCAGTCTTCCATCTGGGCTTATTCTCCTGTTTGGCCAGCCTTTACCTCTGCTACCCTTGCCTCCTTCTCTAGCTGGTTTAGTTTCATTGGGCAGGACCGCTAGCCATCTAGGGAACCAAAACTGAGCTCCAGTGTACTTCTTACCTTATTTGAGCGAGGACATGCAGCTTGACTGCTCAAAAGGCAGTCAGTTGTGCTTTGTGGTGTTCATTCACTCATAGTGCTGCTTCTCATGACTCACTCACTGCAGCCAGGAAGCCACACTGCCCGCTGGCCACTCAGCTTTTCTTGCTCACTACTGCTGCTCATGCTCCTCCCCATTTATAATCCTCACTCAAACATCTCAGTCCCATTCCTGGTCCTGTGCCTTTATCACTTACAGCCCCTGCTCTAACCCATATCTACTTACTCTCCTTCGGGCTCACTTCCCCTTGTTTAGCCCTTCCTCATCCTTTCCCTTACTTCTTTCTCTTCCTCCCACCGATTTCCCTCCTGAAGCACTCCAGTCCGCATTTCCCACAGTATATGCATGCACATTCTCGGTCCTATTGCTCACTCTTCACTCATGCCTTAAGGGATGAGTGAATTTAAATAGAGATCTGCTCATAGCCACTGTGTTTCAGGTCTCCTGGTAAAGCATAAAGGATACAGGTATGATTGCTGCCATTCTAACACTTGACGTTGAACAAGAAACACACGTGTAAAATAAACCAGTGGTGTAGTCAGTGCTGTTAGTACATTAAGATGAGGGATCCTTGGTGTACACGGAAGGACTGTGAGGGCCCAGAGGAATGATGGTGATTGCTGTGGAGAAGCTTTCACAGAGGGAAGAATATTTGAGTTTTAAAGGAATTCTATACCAAATGACATGGGAAGAAAGAGCCTAACAGGCCCAGCAAACGGGCTCTGCAAGGTCGGCACCCACGCAGTAGGAAGATGGGTTATTAAAGGAAAAAAAGTGATGCAAGTGGTTGAGAACATAGGATGTGCTTGGGGGAGAGAACACCGAGTCAACTGAAGGGATGGGTGGGCCCAGCTCTCAAAGGGCTTCCCATGCCAGAGAAAGAGCAAGGGGGATGGACTTGCATAGGTTTTAGAAAGCCATAATGCACTTTTTTGAGCAGGGTTGATCAACTTTGTGTTTCAGAATAAAGACCCTGGTCTCCTTGTGAGTGGCATGTGAGGATTCCAAAGCTGGGGCAGGGTACCTGTCCAGGAGCCTGTGCTAATAATTGTACAAAAAAAAAAAGATAATAGAAAAGACAGAGCTAGATCTTTTGATATGGGAAGAGGACCAAGAGATGGAGGGAAAAGGCAGAAAGGGGACATGAAAGAATTAAGATATGCTATATACATGTACCAACTGCCCACAATTAGGTAATCATTATATACTGCTCCAGGCATGGTGGCACACATCTCTTATCTCAACCCTTGGGAGGCTGAAGCTGGAGGATTACTGAGTTCGAGGTCAGCCTGGGCTACATAGTGAGTTCAAGGCCAGTCTGAACTACACAATGAGATCCTATCTCAAAACAAAAACAAAAACACTGGGCATGGTGGCTCATGCCTGCAATCCCAGCATTCAGAGGCTGAGGCAGGATCTTCAAGCTCGAGGCCAGCCTGGGCAACAAGGTGAACTCAAGACCTGCCCAAACTGCATCGAGACCTAGTCTCAAAAAGACCAAAATAATAATAATAATAATAATAATAATTAAATAAAATCAAAAAACCATTTTATACTGCCACTATGTAATAATAAAAACAAACATTTAAAAAATAACTGGGCAAGGCTAGTTTAGCAAACAGTTTTCAAGCCCCTTTTTAGGAAAGCCAGGCTGGGCAAATGCAGGTAAAGATTGCAGCAATTTGAATGGACTCAGCTCTCTCCCAGGAGGTTGGGAACACCTCGCTGTGCATGTCACAGGGTTCGCATCTGTGGAGGAACTGGGAAAATGGAAGCAAGCCCTGGTCTCTGCTGCCTTCAGTCTGGCACTAAGTGTGCTGTCACATGTCTTGTAACATACTTGGCTTTTTTCCCATCCTGTGAGTTTTTTAAGGACAGAATCAGGTCTCATTTGTTTCTAGACTCTGCCACCTAATATAGGAAGGCTGCTGAGCAGATACTGATGAACAACAAAACGGTAATCAGAATAATAGGTGGCCTGATGGGATACATCAGTAAGTGCCTTACCTGCCTTAATTCATTGTAATATGCTCAGACATCCCTTTGGGATAAATAATGAGGAAACTGAGGCTCAGAGTGGTTACATGACTAAATGGAGTCATACAGTCAGTGGCCTAGCTAGGGCTTAAGCTAGGTTATCTGGCTACAGATTGTCTATAGACATAAGCTATGCCCTCAGGGAAAATATATAAGCATCCAAGAGCTGAGAGTGAATGCTTTTGTCCCTGATTGCTAATAAGTGATTATACATGAGCAGAAAAATAAAAGACACATAGAATTAATAAGTGTCTCTGGCAATTCTGTCCCTTCAGTTCCAAAGTTTGGATTTACACTAGCCAGCTTAGGTGCTCCCTTAATTTCATACATGTGCAAACACCAAAAAGAGCCTCTTTTAGCCCACTCATTTTATAAAAGCCCAAAATAGTCTTCATCTTACAGAGGATAGTCCTAAAGTATAACAATAAAATCCCTAATTAGAGATCATCCCTAGACATTGGCTTTAATGTATTGCTGATATTCCATACACATCTTTTTCTTTAAAACTGAACATAAAATCAACCATTTTAAATCCAGTAAACATCTGATTAAGACTAGTGACCTACCTATTATAAGTTCTAGTTTTGTTTTAGCAGCACTAATTTTCTGAGGTTTCTGTTTCCTTTAGTAGTAGTAGTAAGTAGCATTTTTGTTTTCCACGTTCTACTAATTTTTTCCGAAATAGCAATAAAGGGTTCACATAATTACACAAACACTTTTCTAAGGCACTGCTAATGAAACTGGAGTTTACTGATGTATGAAAACCTGAATTTAGTATATCAAAGGTATTAGTATGAGCATACAAAAGTAGATGTCATATGAAAGTCAAAATATTCTTTGAAAAATATCACTTTGAATTGTAAGTATAACCTGTTCTTTATTACATTATTACATATAATGCCTTAAAAACAAAGTGTTCTCCTAAAAGAAAGAAAGCAAAGAAAAGGAAAAAGAAGGAAAGTGGTTTCCCTGTAAAATATAATAATACAAAGTTCTGGGTGAAAATTAACTTTGCAGTTTCTTTTTTTTTTTTTTTTTTTCTTTCCAGTACTGGGGATCAAACTCAGGACCTTGCCTTTTGCCAGGCAGGCGCTTATGCCATTGAGCTAAATCCCCAGCCCTAATTTTGCAGTTTCTTCTTATCTTTTTACATTATTATTTTTATAATATAGTATAGAGTCTTTTAGACAAAACGCCTTATTACATAGCAACAGGTATTTCCCCAGATGGTTGCTAACTTGTAACTATAATTCACATATAATCAGTTTTGAACAAAATACACCAAATAAAGAATTGTTCTCTTATCAAAACTCACACTGTAGGGGAATTGTATGTTTATTAAAGATTTTGTCTTCTAAAGGCCACCGTTCTTATGTCTTCTGTTCATCTCTGTACCCTTGTGTGCCCACTAGGACTTCGCTCATAGTAGTCACTCAGTTAGATTTATAAGAAGAAAGCACGGTAGTCAGGACTATTCTCCCTTGAGAATCTTACCCTTCAGCAGACACAACCAGAGAAGCTTACTGAAAGTATATTTGGTTTCTGTCAGGCAAACAGCGGGCCCAGTACAAATGGCTGTCAGTTCTTTATCACCTGCTCAAAGTGCGACTGGCTGGATGGGAAGCACGTAGTGTTTGGTAAGTCCTGTTCCTGTCATAGTATCCAGGCCCCAGTCACTCAGGGTGAGGCTTCCAGAGGATCCAGTCCCCAGACGGTCACTAAGAGTGCTCAGCTGGTGAAATGCTCTAGGTTAGTGATACAGACAGCCTGCTGCAGCATGTGTGCTATAGGTCTGCCATTGCTGCTCTAGGTAGTGATGAAGACAGAAGTGAGGACGTGGGGAAGAGTTATGGGTACGGGAATGGAGAGGAGGGTCAGGGGCTGAGGGTCTAGCACGTAACCACTCTGCAATCCATATTCTAAAGGAAAACCCAGATGATAGCACTAGGGAAATGACACAGAAGCAGCATGGTACATAGGGGCTTTGGAATTGCTCAAACCCAAGCTTAATCACCACCTAAAGGCTGTAGCCTTGGGCAAGTCATTTCACCTCCCTGAATCTCACTTTCTTGAGTTAGTAAGAGGCTCTAATGAGCCAAGAGTAGGTACTGAAGCTGAGTGTTGTGCATACATGAATCCTAGCACTCAGGAAACTGAGGCAGGAGGATCATAAGTTTGAAGCTAGCATGAGCAATATTGTGAAATCCTGTCTCAAACAAACAAACAAAAAAAAAAACCAAAACACAAAAAACAATGGGCATTGGGAGACGGAAAGAGCTATGCAAATGAAAAAAATAAAATCTGCTTCATACTCTTCCTGCAGGAAAAATCATTGATGGACTTCTAGTGATGAGAAAGATTGAGGTAAGTCTTGCTTGGATGTTCTTTTTCACAGCCTTCCTGGTCTAGTACTATCTAACTAGCAATGAGGAGCTAAAGGAGGGTACATGGGTTCCAGATGGCTAGGCCCAGCCTCCTCAAAAAGAACGAGAGGCCATGTGCCTCAAGTATCCTTGGCTCTGTAGTTAATCCCTGCAGCCCACACTGTGGTTTGGCCTCTAAGAACCCCATCACCTACTTTTAAAACTCCATTCCATCGCATGCACAAACCTTAACGATTTGACTCGTGCCACTGCCTCCCCTGTGTTTCAGCCACATCAGGCTCTAAACACAGAGTTCCTGTGCCTGCCTCCTGCTTGTTCTTGCCCTCGAGTCTTTGCTTATGTTGATTCCCCAGCCCCGAATGCTCTTTTCCTCCTGATGGGATCCCATTCATCCTTCTAGCCCAACTCAGCATTCTCCTTCTGTGAATCAATCCCCTGCCCTCTGAGCACTACTTCAGTTTCCCATATGCCCCTTTCACAGCTCCCTAAAGCCTTATTACATTGTTACATATCAAGGCTTAATATTTTGAGTGTTCTGTATTTTCTTTTTGGTCTATATTATACATGCTTATCCTGTCTGCTAGGACATAGCTGTCCTGTCAGTCTCTGGGCCCTGTGCTTGTTGACATTGGTGAAGGCTCAAGGAGGAAGTGACATATGTGGATGAGTCTCCATGTGCTTTCTTTTCTAGAATGTTCCTACAGGCCCCAACAATAAGCCCAAACTGCCTGTGGTGATCTCACAGTGTGGGGAAATGTAGTCCAGACCAAGACTAAATCGTAATCGGTAAGTGTGCCTTTCTCCCCTAGATTAGGAGTCAGACCTGAGAGAAGGCAGCACGTTCTGGTGGAAAGAACTTTAGACTCAAATGTGAGACTAAGCCTGTTTCCTCATCTGTCAAAAGAAGTGAATACTTAACCCTTATGACCATTGCAGGGATCAAAAGATAAAGGGTTATAGAAATACTTTACCTTTCTACCACCTCCTAGTGTATCAACCTGAAAACCACTCAGGTATATCTCAGTACTGTCAAACTGTAGTTCCATTCAGTAGACCATTACTGTAGAGGTAGCTGGGCAGCCAGGAGACACATTTGTCATGCTTCCCTATTGAACTGACACCACAACCCCAAGCCCTGGCTTTGTGTGTGCTGGCTGTGCTGCCCTCACAACAGATGCTCACACTGCTCAGCCCACAGGGCTCCTTCCTACCCATCCTTGCCACTGCCTCCTCAGTGCTGGGCAGCCTGCCACAGGTGAGGAGCGCCTGGTGCCTCTCACCCGCATCACCAGTGACTGGTATTTTTTGTCTTAGCCTTTTGTCTCGATATTTGTTCTTCCTTTCCCCTCTTCCCTCCTCTCCCATTCTTCTCTTTGATCCTCTTGCCTCTCTTCTTACTTTTCATCCCTCATTCTTCTTCCCTTTCTCTCTTTCTTTTTCTTCCCACTTTTAAAATTGTGGGCTTCTTGATACTTCATCCCTAAATACTTCAGCACGGAACTCCTGAAAATTATATTTTACGTAACCACAATACTATTATCTATAGAATGTGTTCAAATGCTCAGTTATCCCCAAAACTATTTAAAAAAAAAAAAAAAAGCCCAGCCAAGGTATGGTGGCACACAGCATTCCTACAGTTCCAGCTATGTAAGAGACTGAGGCAGGAGGATTGCTTGAGCCCAGGACTTTAAGATTAGGCTGGGTAACATTGTAAGACACCTTCTCAAAATATGATAGATAAAATAAATTTAAGAAGCTACAAGGTTCATTTAAGAAGCTACATATTTCATTTGTTTTTTTTTTTTTTGTTTGTTTTTTGTTTTTTTGTCTTTTTGAGACAGGGTCTCACTATGTAGTTCATGCTGGCCTTGAGCTCACTTTGGCTGGTCTTGAACTCATAACAAGCCTCCTGCCTCAGCCTCCCAAGTGCTGGGACATTTGATTATTTTTAATTACACAAGTAACAATGCAACCTCTTAAAGATACAAAGTGAAAGTCCATGTTCATCAGAGAGTTTTCTTTGCCCATCTAGTTTTACGTGGATTTATTCTTCCTAAATGACATCATACTATGTTGTTCTTTTTTGAAAAAAAAAAAAAAATATTGCCGGGCGTGGTGGCTCACGCCTGTAATCCCAGCACTCAGGAAGCTGAGGCAGGGCCTCCTTGCGAGTTTAAGACCAGCCTAGGCTACAAAGTGAGCTTAAGGCCAGCCTGAACTGCATAGCGAGACCCTGTCTCAAAAAGACCAAAAAAATGAAAGAAAGAGAATGTTGGTATTGTGTCTTGATGACTTTCCTCATGTAAAGCTTTCTTTTTTTTTTTGTCTTTTTCCTTTTTATCAGTATCAGAGATCAAACTCATGACTGCCTGCTTGCAAGGCAGGAGCTTATGCCACTGAGCTAAATCCCTAGCTCCCAAAGCTTTCATATTAAAAGCAAAACAAATTTGTGATGTATGACGTTTGTGTTACATAGTTTATTTTACCTTTTCATTAATGTTTTAATAGCTATACATTTTGACTACTAGTTCTAGGATGGCATCATGTGTTACTTAAATTTGATGTCCTCTGTTAAGCAGAAATTCTAAATTTTGATATGATAAAAATTATCAGTTCCTTGCAGCTTTTCTGCTTTGTCTTGTGTAAGAAGTCTTCACTACCTTAGATTATAATAATAATCATCTGCATTCTTTCGAGTATTTCTCTAGTTTTACTTGTATACTTTAACTCTAGAATTTATTTTCCGCATGGTGTAATATAGAACACTTACCTTTTATTCCAAATGGAGGTCCAGTGAATACCAGACCATTTTATTGACTATACAGACCTTCATCTCTGACATACTTTGTGCTCAGAGCATCTGGCACTTACAGGCATTTAGTAGAAATGTATTATACAAGAGAGTTGTGAGAGAGAATGTGAGACATTTTTTTAGCCAGGAACTAGGGTGAGCAAATGCTGGGCAGGAATGCACAAGTGTGTGCTGGGAGCTGCATGTGGACCTCCATCTTCCAGCCAGATGGTTCCTTCATAGGCCCAGTTTATCCCCAAACCTTCCTTCCTGCCAGGACCTAGTGTTCCTGTTCTTCCCCTTCAGTAGTTACTGTCCGTTCCCTCCCTTTCCCACTCATTTTGTTGCTGTTTAACTCCAGTTCAGCTCTCAGGTTCTTTTATTGCTTGAGATTGACCACTGATTATATTGGAGTTCAGAAAATATCAAGAATAAAGTTTAGAAATTGTTTGCATTGAAGCCTCTTTTCTGTATTTTTGAGTCTTTATAGAAGTAGCTGGGTATGGTGGCACACTCCTGTAATCCCAGCACTTGGGAGGCTGAGGCAGGAGATCGTTTGCAAATTCAGACCATCCTGGGCTACAAAGTGAGTCCAAGGCCAACCTGAACTGGATAGGGATCCTTAACCTGTCCCTTTCCTCCCACTATTAGAAAGTCACGTGAGTCTGTCCTTGTAAAGCTCCTTGTCAGCCAGCAACCCAAACAGCACAGATTCCACAGGTGGCCTTTTCACATTCCAGAAGCCCTCCAAACTGAGACCGTCAGACAGACCATCCTTTCTGTAACAGTGTAACTGTACCTTATCTGCATTGTCCAGTAATGTAGCTGCCAGCCACATGTGACATGGGAGCACTTGAAATGTGGTTTGAAGAAGCCTAAGGGGAAATGTGTGATGGAGGAACTCAATTAAATTAAATTTTAATTTTAAAGAGTTATTTGAGGTGCTGTATCAGACTGTGGGCTGTAACCTCAGGCTACCTACAGTTCAGTCTCTGAATGCTAACTTACACAAGACATTGATTCTAGTCACTTAATACTTAGTCAATATAAAAACAGTTATCATTTATTATGCACTTCTTATACCCAAATATTAAATTAAGAATTTCACTGAGCCAAAAGTCTACCTTTAGCCAGGTGTGATGTCCTACTCCTGTAATTCCTGCACTCAGGAGGCTGAGGCAGGAAAATCACTGTGAGTTCAAGGCCAGTTTGAACTACATAGTGGGATCTGTCTCAAAAAATAAAAAAACCACCAAAAGTCTTTATTTTACTATTTAATTTATATTTTGGTTTTCTCATGAAAGAGGATCCATGTGATATTTAACTTTTTGGAGAAAGGGAAGATGATAGAAAAAGGATCAAAAATTACCAAGATATGTTTTATATATATATATATATATACACACACACACACACACACACACACACACCAGTTCCTCAGAATGCATGTAAATATCATGTGCTGCAAATATTTGTACCAATAAAAACTTTTTAAAAAGAATTTTGCTTGGGGGACTATATGTGTAGCTCAGTGGTTCAGTGTTTGTCTAGGATGCATAGGACCTTGGGTTCAATCCCTAGCACTAAAAAAAGAAAAGTTGTTTAGTTTTGTTTCGTTGTGGTGCTGGGGATTGAACCCAAGTCGCCTGCACTGAACTACATCCCTGGCCTCTGAGCTACATCCCTGGCCTCTTTTTAAAAATTCTTGTGTTGATACTGGGTATTGAATGTAAAGGCTTTGGCATTGAGCTACATCCCCAGTCCTTTTTTTCTTTTTTTTTTCCCCCCTTTGATCTTTTTGAGACAGGATCTCATGATACAGTTCAGACTGGCCGTGAGCTTATTTTGTAGTCACAGACTGGTCTCAAATTTGCAATTTTTGATCCTCCTGCCTTAGCCTCCCAGTTATGGGATTACAAGCATGAGCCACCACACCCGGCTTCCCCAGCTATTTCCAGAAACAACAAAAACTGTTTTTTGAAATAGGGTCTTGTTAAATTGCCCTGGGATTGGCGTAAACTTGCATTCTTCTTGCCTCAGCCTCCCAGTCCTGGGATTACAGGCTTGAGCCACCACACCCAGCTTCCCCAGCCCTTTTTAAAAACAACAACAACAAAAAAGTGTTTTTTGAGTTAGAGTTTTGTTAAATTGCCTGAGGTTGGCTCAAATTGTAATCCTCCTGCCTCAGCCTCCCAGTTGCTAGGAGATTATAGATCTTTATCAAAAACTTCATCAGAGATTTTAAGGGAAAAAGAAGAACAAAAGAAAGCTGTGAAGGAACCTAGATGGCAGTCTGATATAAAGAAAAAATGGTTCCCCCACTTTGGTTTTCTGTGAGGGGCAATTTGACAGAAATTAAGGGAAAAAGATCTGGTTACTTTTTGGTGGGGGGGGGGGGCAGAACACATGGTCTCAACCCATCATTTTTTTTCCCAACTGAAAGTTGTAAGCATCTCTAATCTTACAGGATTTTTCCATATATTCAGGTTCATTTTGGGTAGAATTGTGATTGACAATAATAACAGATGGTTTTAAGCCCTATGGAACAGTATTTCTCATACTGTAATGTACATGTGAAGTTCCAAGAGAATTTATTTAAAAGGTGCTCCTAGTTCAGTGGGCCTGGGTGGACATGGAGGGTTTGCTTTTCTAACCAGCTCCCAGGTGATACTGGTACAGATGCCGGTGGCAAGCTCTGCATATGGGAATAGCAGGGTCTGCCATTGCATTGAAAACTCACCATGTTCCAAACAAAAAATGTTCAGGAGGAAATAATTTCTTGGTAGCCCAGCAGTCATTCCCTGTATTCGAATCAAGGTAGCACTGCATCATGAAGCTTAGGCCTTCTGCTCAAACACTGAGAATATGAGATGAAGGAGCAAGGGAGCACATAGAGGGCAGGGGATGTGCCTCTTGATGGAGCGTTTCCTTCCAGAACTCCTGTGTTTGCTTTCCAGTGCTCTGACTTTGATTTTGTTGAAAATGAAGGTGAGACCCAATCTCAAAATACACACACACACACTTCCTGTATGCCTCTAGTTATCTCAGAACTTAGGTATAGCATAAACCTCCCCATTGAATATCCTCTTTCTGTACCATAAATTAGGCTCTTTGCTACTTACATGTATTTGGAAACTACTGGTTCAAAAGCCCAAGAGTCTCTTGGAAGAGGACCTGCTTGTGGGCTCGGGCAGCATTGCCAGTCTGATATGTTGCCCCTTCCTGTGATTCTAAGACCTGCTACCAGTACTGAGTGGTAGAAAGCTTTCCTTAGTTTACTGTTGCCTGAATTTCCCTACAGATATGGGGACACTTGCTAAATCTACTAATTTGATATCTTTCTTTTGCTTATCAAAGAATTGTGGGAAACACAAGTATCGCTGTATTTTAGGAAAATACGTATAATCAGCACACATAATTTTGTAGTTATTAATGCTTTACTGCAGGACAGTATTAAGATTTCAATAGTGATTATGTAAAAAAAATAACTGTACCTGTGGATACTAGATATAATAGTTGTGAGGATGTTGAGTGACTGAGGCCTAAAATACAGAATTCCATTCTGGAATTACAGTTGGTACCTCAGTTCACAAACACTTTTGTTGGAGAACAGTTTGGATCACACACAGAAAAGTTTGACTGAATTTTGTTTTTGTTTGTGAACTCTGCATTGGGTGACAAATACAACCACAGCCATCTTTCCTGCACAAACAGGAATGTGGCCATCATTTCCAGAATCATGGAATAAATTAAGTTTGTGAACCAAGATACCACTATACCTAGAGATGTGATGTAATCCTATTGGGAAGGTTATGAAAGATGTTAGTGGTAACTGTGTTGGTCCTCCATTCATTCCACAAATAAGCATTAATTAGAACAGGTCCATCGGGTTGAGGTGATACATGTCTGTAATCCCTGCAATCCTAGAAGCTGAGGCAGGATTGCCATGAGTTCAAGGCCAGCCTAAACTACATAGTGAGACCCTGTCTCAAAAAAACAAAAATAATAATTAGGATAGATCCTGTCTTGGTTATTTTTCTCTCATTATTGATACAAAATACCTGATGCCCAGAGTGAAGGAAGCTTATAGTTTGTGGAGGCTTCAGTCCATAATTAGCTGGCTCCAAGGCAGTCCTTCATGGGGGTTGCAAGCAGCAACAGGAAAAAGGGCAAAAAGAGAAAGCATGCCCCCTCCCTCCCTTGTATTGTATGCCAGTTACTGATAGACTCAGCTGCCCTAGAAAGGCCTACTTACCATGACCACATGAAGCTTTGGGGGGACATTTAAACAAACCACAACAGTTCCCCTGTATGAGACTACAAATTTGAGAAGTGCAGTTCCCTCTTTCAAGGAGCTTCCATGAGAAATACAACAAAGTACTGGATTAGAGATTTTAGAAACTCTAATGTAAGGAAGGTGTAAAGGCCTAGGTCTGCCTGAAGCATGTTGGGAAGACCACTGAAGCTGTACAAGAGTAGGAAAAAGAATAGAATGTATTGGGTGCTAAGTCTGGAAGGCATTCCACACAGAGGGAAGAGCATTCACAGAGGCATAAAGCAGGAGACAGCAGGCATTGTAGGCAAAGTTACAAGTAATTCAACATGTCCCAAACTAGAGGATAGGAAAACCAAATGGTAGAGGGAGGCCAAGACCAGTTCTGAGAGCCAGTGCCATGCTCAGCAGCTCATGTGCTATTCTGAGGGCAGGGGACGGGCTGCAGGCAATAAATCATTTCTCTCCACCGGGAAAATCTCATTGTGTTCCTGAGATTCTCAGAGTCCTGACCCTCCAGAAAAGAGCCACTACAGGATTTTGAGGAGAAATTTACAGTTGAATTATCTTCTTCAGAAGATTCACGCACTGGGAAGCTGGGCTGGAGGCTAGAAGTCACTGCAGTGTCTTAGGCAAAGAGAAGAGTTCCACATGAAAATAGGGGTCCAGGGAACACAGAGACCCTGTGAGATTTGGCAGCTCCTATTTGCATGCCTGCTGGGTGTGTGACACTGTTTGTTCCAGCCCTCGGAAAGTCAGAAGCTCTGCCACCTGAAAAGGAAGGGGAAGGGAGAATGTCTGGCTCCATTCCAGCCCAGTCCCGTCCCGTCCAAAGGCTACGGCGCCTCCCCTGAGCCAGGTCTTACACACGTGGAGCTGTCTCCTCCGTCGCACACTCTTTAGCCTTACCAAAGTGGATCTGTGTTACCTAGCTTTCTAAAGTAAGTTAAGTGAGTCAACATGAAGTACATTGTGTAAGCATGGCTCTATTTATATAATTTCAAAAGTTTCACCAATGATAAATTGCAGACTGTTAACAGGTTCTTCTGCAGAGTAAAGATGGCAGGTTTTTTCAGTTTATATTGTCCTATCCTTGAATTTTCTACATGAGCATGCACTTTATAATAAAAATGCACACTATATTATATATGTAGTTTTGGAGGGGAATGGTGGGCGGGGGGTGTTTACCGGGAAGCAAAATCAGGACCTTGCCTTTGCCAGGCAAGCCCTTGTGCAATGGAGCTATATCCCCACCATATATTTATGTGGGGGGGGCCCCTCCAGGCCTCACCATGGCTAACATCTGTGTAAAAGTCTTCCCCAGTCCCTTCATCTCTTCTTGCCAGATCCAGGATTTGTCAGTGGTTCCTGCCTGGTGCACCCACACTTGGTTCCTCCACAGCAGTTAGCACAGTGTGTCACAAATGTGTTGTTCTGCTTTTCTCTGGACTGAGAAATTAGAGGGACCATGGTGACTGTTGTATGTGATAAGAGTAGACATTAGGTTCTGTGTACTATGCAATTTACAGAGTGCGTTGACAGTTTGATATACCTTGGTCAAGGGCCCAGGGTTAAACTGGGACTGCCACATGACACAAAACTCACTGTCCCTCAGAAGGGGCAGGAGGAGGAATGGGAGGAGGAGGGAAGCAATAGTATCTGAGTATACGCTAATTATTCTTTTAGTATGACTAGCTCCAAACCATAAGCAGAGAGTAGACTTCACGTTCTGTATCCCTGCTACTAAAACCTGCTATGCTCAAGGATTGTTCTTTGTTCTGTAGCTCCACGGAAAGTCGTCAAAGCTGACAAAAAGGACACAGGCCTTGGAGCCAATCAGACCAGGAAGTCCCAACACTGTCTAACCCTAGGACCTTAGTCATGCCAGTAAACCCCTTGTTTGCTCATTTGTGTAGAGATAATACATACATTGAGTTGTAAAGGGTAAATATTAAGGAAATGAAACCACACGCTGGGCTATAAATGTTAGTTTCTTAGTCCTCATGTAATGTGTCTCCACTTGGCTCTGGAAAACCAAAGGTCTACCCTGTGGTGAGACTCAGACCAGGTCTGCTCTCTGGGGAGAAGAGGACTAAGGGTGCAGAGGAGAGAGGGAACATTGTCTGTCTTGGAATGTGCCCATCTGGTTCCCTTCAGCTGCTTATCTCCCATCGCTCACTGACCTCCCTGTCTCTGTCATTGTAGGGCTTCCTTTGCTGTTGGCGGCTTTCCTGAGTCAGATAAGCTGGACTGGCCTCTGTATTTGCATTCCTGCCTGCTGAGGAAATATCAGACTCAGAATCAAAGAGTGTACATTTAATTTTTTAATTGTAAATAAAGGTTTTTGAGTGTGCATGTTTTGTTTTGATTTTGTATGTGTTTTTAAATGTACCCTCACCCCTCCACTTCAGTTTGAACAGACTCTCCCGACACCAGTAATGAACTAGGGTCAGGTGCTTGCTTTGTGTGCTTGATGCACCACACACTGTAAGCAGTTATAGCAGGCTTCTCTTAGGTTCAAGTTCATTGTTTAAGCAGGCAAAGCCCCAGGGTCTTATACCACTATTGCAAGTATGTTTCCACTGGTTTCAATTTGATAAAGTCTATTGCCAGTGTGGAAAAGGTCAGTCAGTTGGGATATGTTGGGACAGGAGAAAAGCTGGTACTCTTCCCTTGCCCCCCCCCCTTCTAGATTCTGGAGGTGAAACCCAGAGCCTTCTGAAGCTGTCTAAAGTATATCCTCCAGGCATACGCCATCCTCCCTTACCCACCATTTTCCACTTTATTTTTGAGATAGGGTCTTGGGGAATTACTAGGCTAGACTCAATTTTGCAATCCTCCTATCTCAGCCTCCCAGAGTGCTAGAATTACAGGCCTGAGCCAGCATGCCCAAGTAAAACATGTCTTGAACCTGATGAAGTGGGAATCATTCACTCAGAAGTTTTTTTTAAATCTAGGGTCATTTTTAAACAATGGAGGATTCAATTTAACTTCTAGGCAGGTGCAGTGAATTATAGGAATCCCAGCACTTGGGTTACTGAGACAGGAAGAATACAAGTTAAAAATTACAGTCTCAGGCTAGGGAGTTAGCTCAGTGGTGTAAGAGCCTGCCCAGCAAGCGTGAGGTCGTTAAGTTTGATCCTTGGTAGCACAATAAATAAAAAGTCTCTCCAAATAAAGTTCCCCTTTTAAACCTCCCCCCGTTTCATCTGTAAAATGGGCATATTAACATCAATTTATCTCAACATTATTGAAGGGGTCAAATAATAGATATGAAGTAACTTGTGTATCTTGGATTTTGTGTATGTGTGTGTGCGCGTGCTGGAGATCAAACTCACGACCTCATGTTTGCCAAGCAGGCACTTAATGCCACTAAGCTAAACCCCTAGCCCCCAAAAATGTTACTTTTGAGTGGAATTAGCCCATTATAAGAGATGCCACTGAGCATAAAGAGGGAAAGAAGAAAGTTCTTGGTGACCCTTTCATAAAGTTGTTATATCCTTTCTACTTCCAAATCACGGTCAGAGATGCTCCTACCCTTTTTTTTTTCTTGAGACAGGGTCTCACTGTGTAGTTTAGGCTAATTTTGAACTCACTATGTAACCCAGGCTGGCCTTAAAACTTGTGGCAATCCTCCTGCTTTGGCCTCCCTGAGTACTGGGGTTACAGACATGTGCCACCATGTCCAGGTACCTCCTAACATATGAAGTAGCCCAGGTTACACTGAATTCTGTTATCACAGAAGCAAGTATAAGTGCCCTTTTCGTGTATGGGGAAGATAGGCCATGATGAGATGTAGAAGGCCTGGCATATAGGAATTTGTAACCATGTATAAACTGGCGACAGGGGACACAACAGAAAGAGAACTCTTCTGCTAGAGTAGAGATCTTTAAGTAACTAGACAGGTAGTGATATAGGGGAATGAGACTCCCAACCTACTATATCTGCAAGTTTGTGTTCTCTAAAACCAAGGAATGAATTGTAGGAACAATGGAGGTGAGGAGTAGAATATATTTATTGAGGGCAAGAAAGCTGTCTGAAGAGAGACAGAAGGGTTCCCAAGCGGACTTTTACAGAGTAAAACCGTGGGTTTAAGTGGGGATGGGGGGTCCCCATGGGAACGGGACTGGGAACTCACAGGCAGATGGGCATAAGGTAGGACATAACTATAATTAGCCAATAAAATCAATAGTTCAGGTAAAGTTGATTACATTAGGGACAAATAGGAAAGCAAGTCATGTAGGAAGCGGGCATTCTTAGAGTGACTCTTCCCTAGGCATTGCAATGGTGACTCCTGACTTCAAGGAGATCTAAGGATTATACTTAAGGGTGTGGTTGCATTTGTTTTGCATTTTGTCTTAAGATCTGGCCCACTGCAAGAGGTGTGTGTCCCCTCCAAGGGCATCAGATAATCTGGTCCTCTGCCGGCTTCTTCGAGGGCCTAGCCCTGTCTTTGACTGCCTATAATATTTCTAACTGGCTCAGCTGCCTGTAACAATAGGATTGTGAAAGGATAGGAAGGAGGAGGAACCATTGTAATGCCAAGGTGACATCCTTGTGATGAGCTGTTCAGCCAAATCCAGTCACTGCCTGATGCACTAGAGCTGCACAAGTGAATAAAATGTGGCCTTTGCCTGTGACAGGAGACAGAATTAAAATTCAAGGTGGTTTTGGAACATGTGCCTTTATGGGGCAGGAAATGGGTCTGCCAGGGGTAATGGTATTTTTGGTATTTTGAAAGTGTCTCAGTATATAGGCCAGGCTGGCTTGAAACTCATAGTCCAGCCTTGGACTCTTGAATGTCGATTTGGTGGTTGGTTTTGGGGAGTTTTTTGTTTTGTTTTTTAAACAGCTGTATCCCCTAGGTAGGTGCTCCCTAAGTATGTGCTGCATGAATGAGGGAGTGATGATGGTGTGTGCAAGATGTAGGAGCACAGCGGAGAGATGAGGTGAGAGACCCAAAAGTTTATTCTTGGAAGGTGTGACATCTGAGGTAGGTACTAAAAGATTGGATTTAGCCAGATCAGGATACAGAAGAAGGAACTGTGTTTTTAGGCCTCAGAGTCTGTCAGGGATGAGGGACACAGTGAAAGTTATTTTAGGAAAGAGATTCTTGGGATGAATCCTTTTGCCCCTTACATCGCTTAAAGGCAGGCAACTGGAATTAGGTTTAATGTGGTCACTGGCTAGCTAGTGATCTGAGCTCTTGTGTGGGTGGGGTAGCTCACAGAAGTCTGGACTAGTTGGGATGTGAGACAAATTTCCACATGACCTGTTGGTCCTGTGGTACATCAGGAATAGAGAAAGTTTCACAACTACTCATCCATTTTTTCTTTTTCTTTGAGACTGGGTAGTTCAGGCTGGCCTTAATTTACTCTGTAGCCCAGACTGGCTTGAACTCACAGCAGTCCTCCTGCCTCAGGGTCCTGAAGGCTGGGATTACAGATGTGCACTACCAGGTCTAGTCATCTTCATTTTTTTTTTTTTTTTTTTTTTTTTGTCTTTTTCCTTTTTACCGGTACCAGGGATCGAACTCACGGCTGCCTGCTTGCAAGGCAGGCGCTTATGCCGCTGAGCTAAATCCCCAGCCCCGTCATCTTCATTTTTGAGCTTAAAAAGGTGTGCAAAGTAACTGCATAAGTAATAATACTTTCAAAATTTTTGTATTGGGAATTGAACCCTGGACCTTTGCACTAAGCAACATCCCCAGCTATCTTTGATTTTTAATTTGAGGTAAGGTCTGGCTGAGCTGACTAGACTGGGATGTTTGCCATCCTCCAGCCTCAGCCTCCTAGAGAGCTGAAGTAGAGGCCAGGGTCATCAATCATAGCTTTTTTTTTTTTTCTTCCTAGCTATGCAGTTCAGGCTGGCCTTGAGCTCACACTGTAACCCAGCTTGGCCTCAAACTCAAGTGATCCTCCCGCCTCAGAGTGCTGGGACTACAGGTGTGCACCACCACGCCCATCGGGTTTTAGCCCTAGCTTTTACTCTAATCTTATTAAACTACTTTATTTGCATCTCCCCTGAGGCCCTATCTCTTCTAGGCTCTGGGGCTTTTTATAAGTAGCTTTTTGCCAGAAAACTCGGCACTCAACCTTCCTGCTTCCACTTCCAAAACACTATGCTTTTGAAGCTGTGGAGAATATGAAACGTTGGGTGTTTAAACTTCTCCCTCCATTAGAAGGCAGAAACTCACAAACTATACCATCCTCAATCAATAGTAGACGATAAAGAGTGAATGAGCTGGGCGGTGGTACACGCTGTGAACTCCAACACTGGGGAGGCCCCCTGAGGCCTAGGTAGGAGAGTTGTGAGTTGAAGGTCAGCCTGGGCTACATTCAAAAAAACAAAACAAAGGAGGAATGAATGAAGGTGGATGGCCTACCTCAGCAATATCAGGTGTCGTTCTCAATTTTGCCATTTGACCGGTAGTGATAGTGATCTTCAGATAAAATCTAGTTTGCCCAATAAAACAAGTAGAATGAAATCTAATTGTTGACCAATACAAAAAGACGGGAGTACTTAAGGAAACATATTACTTGTTGGCCGGTAAAACAGATCAAAGGCAGGTCGCTCCGGAGTACACCTCCACCTTACACATGCAGGGATGGGGAGGCCTGAGTGTGGTCCCTCCAAGCGACCATACTACCAAAACCCTAAATTGTTTAAAGCGCAGATGTTCAAGCCTCTTCAGAAACACTCGGCTCCGTGTATGGCCATTAAAAGCTTTCTCCTCACAGTAAAGACGTTAGAGTTAGGAGGGGGGAAAAAAGGACGCCTTCTCTTCATGATCCTAAAGTGTTGGGCCTCTTTCCAAGCCCCAAATCAAACTAGGTAATGTGGAGCCAGGTGTTCGCTAATGCCTTCAGCTTGAATCCAATCCGGAATGTACAGCGAGCCGGCCAGGCCTGTTGCCTAGTGAAAATCATGTTCTCTCTGTCCGTCCTCTCGGGAACTCTATGGTTCTCGTGGTGACTACTCTAATTCTAGTTCCGGTCTCTATGGCGGCGTAGGCTGGAACGGTTGTAGGTCGGCCGCATTAGCCGCCTAGGGACCAATGAGAGTGGAGGGATGATAAAGACTTAGCCAGTAAAAATCAGAAGTTGTGGTCAGGTGGTGAGATTGACAACAAAACTGACCAATGAACAATGGGTAGGGCGGGTCGATCGTAGGGCTTATCCCGCCTGTCCCGCCATTCTCGCTAGTTCGATCGGTAGCGGGAGCGGAGAGCGGACCCCAGAGAGCCCTGAGCAGCCCCACCGCCGCCGCCGGCCTAGTTACCATCACACCCCGGGAGGAGCCGCAGCTGCCGCAGCCGGCCCCAGTCACCATCACCGCAACCATGAGCAGCGAGGCCGAGACCCAGCAGCCGCCCGCCGCCCCCCCCACCGCCCCCGCCCTCAGCGCTGCTGACACCAAGCCCGGCACCACGGGCAGCGGCGCAGGGAGCGGCGGCCCGGGCGGCCTCACATCGGCGGCGCCTGCCGGCGGGGACAAGAAGGTCATCGGTGAGAGCCGGACGAGGTCGGGGGTGGGGCCGCAGGGAAGCCTGGGCGCCGAACCGTTAGGCGACGCGAGGCGAGCGGGAGCGCGCGGCCAGTGGGGACCGACCACCGGCGCGTTGCCGCCGCCACCGCCACCGCCACCGCCCCTCCCCCCGGCTCCACACGCCTTCGCGGGCCCCGGTACGCGCGCGCACGTCGCCCGCGGACCCGCGCCTCTCCCTCTACAGCCTCGCGCCGCGGGCTGCGTGTGCGGCGTGTCCCCACCCGCCCGCCAACCGCGTGCGCTCCGGCTCGCACGCCGTTGTTCCGTCCCCCCCACCCTGCTCCTTCCGCGTGTGCCCGGAGGGCGCGGCGCGCCGCCTACGCAGGCTGGAGTGGGCCGGCGGCTTCCCGTCCCCTCACGTGCTCCCCGCCGCGGCCTGCGCACACACCCATCTTGGGCCCGCGCCCCGGGCCTGCCCTGGGGCGTCCCGCTGCTCTGGGCGCACCCACGTGTGCTGCCGGGGCTGCGTCGTGGTGGAGAAAAGGCTGTCAGGTGGTCTCGGCGCCGGCCCGTGGTAAAGGGGTCAGTGGTAATCGAGGCTTGTTCTGCTTTGTTTTCCAGCAACGAAGGTTTTGGGAACAGTAAAATGGTTCAATGTAAGAAACGGATATGGTTTCATCAACAGGTGAGAGTTGCGGTGTCTGCACCCCTGTCCCACCTCTTGCATGCTTGCTGCTCGGTCTGCAGGCTCTTCTGAGATTGGGCTGTGGCAGCAACTGCCACATTCTCGGAGTTGTCTTGGGTTTTTGTTTGTTTTTATCTTTTTGTTTACTAGTGTGAATTTTTTTTTTTTTTACCGAAGGGGTTAGAATGGTCTTTGTTTTAGAGCTCGATACCAATCTAAAGCTCAAAGGTTTTATTACGGTGTGAAGCAGTTGAAGGCAAGCAGAGTGAATGAGCCATGCCTTAACAGTTGGGTGAAACTGCGGGACAGTACGTTTTTATCTTTCCATGTGTTTTTGTGATTGGTGTTTGGTAAAAGGATCTACTAATTATTATGCTTGTTTACACCTCGATAATATTTTGACATGATTTGGCTTGTCAAGTAGGTGAGGTTTTGTCATCCTTACCATAAGGTTATGGTACCTTTGTTTAACCTTTCGAACGTGCTCTTTTTAATAGCTTGTATAATTTCCTGTTAGGACTGTATCGATCAGAGAGAGCAAGCTATTTTCATTTGTCTAAAGTAAATGTATCTGTAAGAAAATGGTCCTGTTCTTTTCAATATTTATTTCCCTTCCTTGTTAGAAAACCATGCTGACTGAGTCAGTTTTACTAAAGCCCTTAATTGTGGGTTATTAGAGTAGCCTGAAGTCCCTGGTACCTTCACGTGGTTGGTATTTGAAGGCAGAGCGGCAAGCTGCGCCTTGAGATTTGCCCTTGGAATTGGTAGCGGTAGCGATAGTGGTGGTGGCTGCGACCGTGGGCTCCCTTGTGAGCCGGGCATCATTTTCAAGATGGCTGCCAGGGCTAGTGCAGTTGCATGGGTGTAGAGTACCGCGAATGCCAGGAGCAACCTGGGCTGTACAGCTGGGATGCAATATTTGGCGCCATTTCAGCATTTTCTTAACCTTATTTTAGAAGGCCTTAAACAAGTAGATGTGAAAAACAACATGTAAGAGTGATGCAGAATGTAAAGTGAACACCAAATGATTGTAATTTGGCTTTTAGGGGAGATGTAGTTGATGAAAAAAATAAGCATTAGTCAAACCACAGTATTGTGCAAACATTCAAAGCAATAATTTGTAAGCATTGGCTGCTCAGTTCTCTCATACTTTAGTTAAGGAGAAATACTTTGTTCCTTCCAGAATACTTGACATTTACTAGCTGTCACACTGCTTGTCTTTGTGATCAAGGCTACATTTTCATCTTTTTGTTAATGGGTTGATAGTGAAGAAGTGCTTGGTGCTTATATGATCGCCAGTGATCATTTTTTAAAACTGATCTCTGAATTTTGTGTTTTTAGTTGGTATTTGTGTTAATCTTATTGTTGACTTACTGTTAAACCAGTGATTTTCAGATTAAGGGCGTTCAAAATGCAAATTAGTGAGTTCCTTCTGAACTTGAAGTACATTAGGCCTGTGCACTTTTTTCGAGAATCTCTGGTGATGGTGAGAAAGTTTTGTGTTTATACCTTTAAAATAACTGCTTTTAACCTTTTACTGAGTGCAGTAAGAAGGCACTGTGCTTGGCAGACTTTACAGTGAATAGATTCTAGGGTTTTGTTTTTGCTTTGGTACCAAGGGATTGAACTAGTGACCTGGCACTTGTGCAGCTGAGCTGTACCCCCAGCCTAGATTGTACTTTTTGTATGTTATAACTTTGAATCAGACTCAGTGACTCTTTCAGGGCAAATGTCAATTGTTTTTTTATTGTCCTTTCTTGGCTGGGATTAGCCTAACTTCAGCTGGTATGTTAAATTAACCAATAAAAGACTTTATAATCCAATTCCAATTAAATACAGGAAAGAGTTGCCCTAGTTTAGGAAAACAGTTGAGATGACTATTGGGACTTAATTCACTTGTTGTCCTAGCTACTTGTGAGGCTGAGGCAGGAAGATGCTACAAGTTCAAGGACAGGCTGGGCAAAATTAGCAAGACCCTATCTTGAAGTAAGTTGGGTCTAGCTCAGTGGTAGAGTATGCCTGCCTAGTATGTGAGAGATGTTGGGTTCAATATTACCACCAGAAGGGGGGAAATGAGTATTCTGAATTATATGTTCTTTTACATTTTTTATTTTATGTAGTTTTATTGTAAATGTTTATTCCATCCCAACCAAAATACCATCTGATTGTCAGGGCCTTGTTACAATTAAAGAGTGTTCTACTATGGTTTTACTGTCTAAAAAATACTAAATAAGAGCCAGAGCTTTTAAAATAGCAACTGTGTAGCTGGGTGTTCCACACATCTGTAATCCCAAGGATTGCTGTGTGTTCAAGGCCAGCCTGAATTGCATAGTGAATTTTTGTCTCAGAAAGAGCCCCCCCTGAAGAAAGTGACTTATTCTATGAAAGTGTAATCTAGGGGCTAGGGATTTAGCTCCGCGGCATAAGTACCTGCCTTGCAAACTCACAGTTGTTAGTTTGAGCCCCAGTACTAAAAAAAATGTAATCTAGGAATTCAGAGAAATTCATTGAGTTACTCTTTCCAGTGGTACGTTGCTTAGGAAAAAAAAAAACGGAACCACGTGACTGCAGTTTATTGGCTCTGATCCCCATATTACTGTTCTGTTCTTACTAGCCATTGTGAATTGATCTGTATTCACCAAATTTATCAAAGTTGGCAACAGCTTATTTTTTGTAATAGGATATGCATCTTTTATAGTGACCAGAATTGGATTTTGCTGTTGCTGTTCTCCAGAGTACTTAAAATGACTAAGTTAATCATTCTGAAATTTTAAGGTAAGGAGAATTTGGGTAATTACTGCCCAAATACAAATACTAATACTAGTCATACTAATTCAAACACAATTACAGTAATGTTTTGTTTCATTAAATTAAAAGAAATTTATATTCTTGAATTTTTTTTTTTTTTTTTTTTTTTTTTTTGCCTTTTTCTTTATGGTACCGGGGACTGAACTCACGACCACACACTTGCAAGGCAGGCGCTTATGCCGCTGAGCTAAATCCCCAGCCCCTATTCTTGAATTTTTAAGAAGCATTTTATACATGAAGACAGCTGGTTTATGCAAAGTGCACAAAATATAACTAGCATTTGGCTTTTTTGCAGCCATGTTGTCACTTTTTTTCAGATAGACATGCATGTGCCATTTTCAAGAATCAGTGGCACTTTGCAGCAAGATATAAAAATTATGGCTCCCATTGTGCACATTCAAACCTTTGCTAACCCCAGGATTAAAGTTGGGAGTGCCTTTCTACTGAGCCACAGTCCTTTTTAATTTTGAGACAGTCTAGCTAAATTCCCCAAGGTGGCCCCAATTTTGAATGCTGCATTCAGCATCCAGAATGGCTGGGATTATATATAGACAGATGCCACTGTGCCCAGTTACAGCCCAAAAATCTGTGCATTTTTTAAGTAGTGCTGTTACGGAAGCTCAAAAGAGGTCCAAGCACGCTCTTCATGAATATAGGTAGTAAGTGGCAGAGACAGGGTTTGATCTCAGTTTTTCTATTCTACAGTGGAGCTTATGTTCTCTAACTGCTAGTATATTGAAAATTGACACTAGTAGCTATTTGGTTGTTGTCCTTATAGATGTAGATAGTTTTTTTCATATAACTGGCTATTAGATATCTAAAAAGTCAGCACTCTCTAGCATGTCAGTGCACCTCCTGTGTACTGACTGCTAGTTTGCCAGATTGAAAAGCTTTCTACTTTTCACTGTATTTCCTAGAGTTTGGGGTTGCTGTTAAGTTCTACTTTGCATACAAATTGGCATTAAGGGTTTACTTACTACCTTGTATTAAGTATTTAAGGAATTAAAAGCAGAGAATGGAGCTGGGATAGTGGCATAGCACTTGTTTGGCAAGTGGGTGAGGTCCTGAGTTTGGTTTTCCCAGTACCAGTATATAAAAGGAGAGAACGCTGAACCTGTATGTATGAGTCTGGGTTTTTTTTTTTTTTTTTTTTGTCTTTTTCATTTTTATCGGTACCGGGGATTGAACTCACGACCGCCTGCTTGCAAGGCAGGTACTTATGCCGCTGAGCTAAATCCTCAGCCCAGAGTCTGTGGTTTTAACAGAGCCTGTGCCATAAGAATGGGTATAACTTGTACGGTTTTTGTTTTGTTTTTTGGTTTGTTTGTTCATTTGGTATGAGTAATGGAACTCAGAATGTTGCACTTGCCTGGCAGGTGCTATGCCACTGAGCTGTAACCCTGGTCAAGGTCATTGGTTGTTTAAAAAAGCAACAGAGTGGCCACAATGCCTGTGATACTTTCTTAGTTAAAAAAGAAAGTTAGTAGATCTGTTGAAAGATGGCTGCCAAAAGACTTAACACTATTAAAATCACTCATCTTCATATCTTCATCCTATTAGGTCTATCTCTAACCCTCTTATGTGAGTAATCTATAATGTGCCTGAAAGCTATAACACAAAGGGAAGCTTAAAGACACATTGATGTCATGGGATAGTTTCTTTAGAACTGAGATTCTTTGAGACAAGATTTTACCATGTAACCCAGGCTGGCCTCAAACTCTGAGCAGTCCTTCTGCTTCAGCCTCCTGAGTGCTCGGATTACAGGTGTGTATCACCACCCCTGGTTTAAAACTGGGATTGTTAGAATGGGCAACAATGATTTGTATGCTGGAGAATTTAGAAGTGATATATATGCAGGTTTTATTAGCCATTGGTCTTAGACAGAAGTCATCCCATATTTATCAGGTCACTTAAACAGGAGTACTCCATATAGTGGTGGTTCCTACTGTGTGCCAAAAGTACTAGAATCATTTGATCTTAAAATCTAGAATAAGCAACTGGTGTTTTTAACTTAACCTGTTTTCCTACTGCTGTGAATGCAATTTTGGAGTTTTCTTCCCTGTAGTCTGAGCTCTAGGATGCATCCAGATTAAGGCAGAATAATCTGCTTGGGAAACACACCCTTGAGGGGTTTCTTTTTTTTTTTTTTTTTTTTTTAATAAGAAAAAGGTAGAGATAAGTGGAAATTTATAAATACAGTACTGTGGATGGGTGAAAGATATTTTACAAAGTTTTAGCGTATATATTTATACTCACATACACACAGTGTAAAATTATATTTTAGGAGTGGGAGGACAGTCCAACATAGTTTTAAAATCCAGACTAGTGCTTGAGTTTGGATAGGTTTTGCTATGACAAGTATAGCAGGAATTTTAACAGATGGTTAATAGCAAGATACTAGGCAAGCCATAATGATTTTTCACATTAGAAAATTTCTTTGGCAGAGGATCCCATCCCTCATTCTGATTTTTAAGTTGCAGTTTGATGGTTTCAAAAAATTTTTTGAACTGAGTATGGTGGGGGACACCTGTAATCTTAGCACGCTATGCAGACAGGATTGCAACTAGCCTGCCTTGTCCACTCCATGCAGTAAAGTATGGAACAGAGAGAACAGTGCTCTTGGTACCTCAGAAGAATACCTTCGCCCCCTCCCTCCCATCTTACTTCAGTAATGAAGTTTTAAAACAAGCTTAATGAGCCACCATTACTATAGACAGATCACTCTTGGTCTAGTATTGTATCACAAACTAAGAAATGTTTTTACATGTTTTTAAGAGTTGTATACAGGGGCTGGGGATTTAGCTCAGCGGCATAAAGCAGGCGGTCATGAGTTCGATCCCTGGTACCGATAAAAATGAAAAAGACAAAAAAAAGAGTTGTATACAGAGAAAATACAGAACAGATACTATATGTGGCTACAAAGTTTTGTTTGATCTCAGACATTTTTGCAAAGCCTTGATCTAGCCCTTCTTGAAATCTTAAGGTAGTAATGACTAGGAACCATGAGGTTAAAAATCAGGTACTGTGAGCAAATGACCATTGTATTTCAATTCCCTAATTTGTAAAGGGGGAGGCAGGTCATGTTAGTAACCTTGGGGTTAGGATTTTTTTGTTTGCAGTGCTAGGGATTGAACCAGGGCCTAACACATGGTAGACAAGCACTGAGCCTACTGCTCCAGTCCAGAATTGTGAGCACTTTGAAGTTCTTAAAAGTGTTTGGAATTTTAGTCATCCTAATTTGAGTTGTTTTATATGTGATACAATTTTTCTCATTACAGGTATGAAAAAAAATCCAGTGAGGAGACAGTTTAATTATTGAAAGGCGGCTTTCAAAGATACATAGCTGTTAATAGTTAATAATAGCAGAGTTTGTTATTTGCTTTGAGACAGGATCTTGCTTATGCTGCCTTTGAATTCACTGTGTAGCACAGGCTGGCCTCAAATCCATAGCAGTCCTCTTGCCTCAGCCTCAAGTGCTGGGATTCCAGGTGTGCGTGACTACACCTAGCCATGGTTCTTAATAGAACCAGTATTAAAAATCAGTTTTCCTGTTAGTAGGTAAATAAACTTCTGAGTACTCATTTCATAAGTTATAACTAGATTGGTTTAATGTGTCCTATCCATAAGTTTTGGGGATTTTTTTTTTTTGGGGGGGGGGAGGCTGGGGATTGAACTTGAGACCCTACACTTGCCGGGCAGACGCTTATGCCACTTAGCTAAATCCCTGGCCCTTGTTTTTTTATTTTTTCAAGCTAGGGTCTCAGTGCAGTCCAGGGTGGCTTTGAACTCTTGGCAATCCTCGTGGCTGTAACTGAGTGCTAGGATTACAAGGGTAATGTCCAGCGAAGTCTAGGTTTTTTGTTTCACTGTACGGAGGATTGAACCCGAGGCTTTGCACCTAATTGCATGTCCCTGAATTGCGTGGGCTGGCTGATCTCAAACTCTGTATACTCCTATTTCAGCCTGATAACTGACTGGGATTACTTGTGTTTGCTAGCACACTAAGCTAAGCCATAATATTTTATCTTGCTGAAACTTGAGTTTTCTGAACTGTTAGATTTCTTCCTGAAATTTGGGCACACATTGCTCATACTATTTATTGAGCTGGTTTAATGTCAATAAAATATGTAGGTGCTGTTTTTCTGGCATGAGGTTATTAGTATATGTTGGTTTCCACAATTGTTTGTACCTACAGAATGTCTTTTTTGGTCTTTTTAAGGCAGGGTTTCACTCTACAGTTGAGGCTTCCCTTGAATACACTTCCATATTTAGCCCAGGCAGGCCTCAAACTCAGTAATCCTCCTGCCTCACTCTTCCAAGTGCTGGATTATAGGTGCATCATCACACTCTGTTGTCCTACAAAATCTTTTAGGTTGTTTTGTTTTGCGGAAGACTACATTATCTTTCATGTACTGTGGCAAACTTACACTAATTTAAAGGTATCCTTCTAGATAGTAGTAAATTTTCTAGTATTTCTTTTACAACCCTGAAATAAACTTATAGTGGCAGTATTTTTGTTAGTATTGAAAAGTCCTGTGAGGGTGTTGACTTTTTATTGAATTTAAAGCATAATTAAAACAATATAAAACACTTCTAAATTTATTTGCATGGAATCCAGAAGGAAACCATGGTCACCCATGCTTCATTGCTCAACCCTCCTTGATGCCGGTCATATTTAACAGCTTCACCTCCTTCCCAGCTCTGCTGGTTCTCTGTAGTGCCTCCCCTTTGAGTCCTGGAATGGGACAGAGTCACGTTGGGAGGCCAGTTCTGATTCATTCTGATAGGGCTCCATGGGGAAGGTTGGCCTTCTGACTGCATGGCGATTTCCCATATGAAGTGTCATGTCTATTTATTAAGGACAGTTTGTTGCATAGCCCAGGCCATACTCTTTTTCTCCAGGAATGTATCACCACTACACCCAGCACGTTACCCCATTGGCCTCAAAGGCATCCGAGATTATCTACCCTGTATGGAAGCGCCTGTTCCAAGGCTTTGTTAATCTGGTCTGGGGCTTTTATAACTGACTTCCAGGCTCCTTTTATATTCTAGTGTTCCTTAATATTGGTCATTAGATTAAAAAGTTTGTCTTCACATAAATTCTGGTATCCATGTTTGTACTTTGATTTTTGTGTGGCTTAGGTTCATAGGGGAATGGAGCTGAAAGTTTAGAGATCCTTTTATCCTCTTCACTATCAGTATATTCAACTAGAGAGGTACATTAATTATGACTGACTGACAAACCAGCTTTGACTTGTCACCTGAAGTCCATAGTCTGTATTAAGGTTTATTTTTTGTGTTGTACAGTCCAGAATGTTATTTCCATGGTCATTTTTATGGCTTTAAGGAAATTTGAGAGTTGAAAGTGGGAAGAGGAAATTGAAGATGAAATGAGGAAAAAGTAATTGCCACTTTATTTTGGAACACAACTTAAGAGTATCAGAGTGTGTGTTGCCTGTCCGCTTCAGAACACCCCCAACCCATAGTGCAGATTAACCTAAGGTCTTGCTGAGAGTTAGATTCATTGGGCTGACTAGATTTTGAACTCTTGCTTCTATATCTGCTTCCCAGAGTCCTAGGATTGTAGGTAGGCATTATCATATCCAGCCACACTTGGATTTCTTACACTTGTTTTGTTTATTCTTCTACAGGTAGTGAGATGACTGCTGTTTTTGCTAAGTCTTTAAAACAGACCATAGCACTTGCTTGCTTACTTTGTGCAGATTATCCTGATAGGAAGTTTATTATGTTGTGGTTTTCTTACTTGTTCAACTTGGTTTTGTTTTGCAGGAATGACACCAAGGAAGATGTATTTGTACACCAGGTGAGTGCTTATGTAGGTACTTGAACTTGTGGCTCAAGGCTTGTGAGAAGAATGTCTTCTCAACTATTGTCCCTTGCAAAAAAGGTTAAGTTCAACCACTCTTATTTAGTTCTGCCTAAAGAATAATATGCTTAAGTGTATACATTGAAACATTGTATTGGAATCCACTTGAATTTGAATTCTGTTAATAGCTATACCTTTTTAAGATTGCTCGGCTTACTGTACTAAATTTTTGTATCTAATTCTAGACAAGCAAATAATCACTAAGTTATGCTGCCATAAATACACGAAAACTGGCAGAAGTTTCCAGGTGCTATTAGATCTGTGTCTGTGGTAAGCATACATCATAACAGGGTATAATCAAAAACAATCTGAACAAGATAGTAAAAAACTGTCAAAACAGCCTGGATCCACCTCGTGGATTTCTTTGTTTTGTTTTTGTCACAAAGAATTGGCTGGCTTTGGAAAACTTGAAATACTTAATAGTTTGAGTTTAAAAAAAAAGTGCACCAAAGTTGGTGGTGGATCATTATTACATAATTGTAGTTTGGCATTAAGATTATTGCTAACGTAAGCTAATATTTTATAGGCACTATTGTATTTACTAATCCTCACAGATACTGCATGAATAGAAAAAAATCACATTTTCATATATGAACTTCTATGTTGTGCAGTTTTTTTTTCTACTAGGATTGTTGGAATATGAGATTGTATTGTAGATTATTGTAAGAACATCTAGCAACTTTTTATACTAATACAGAAATGAAAAAATCTGAAGTCACTTTTTATATGACTTTATTTAGGCAGATATGAGCTTAGATGGGGACCAGGGGCTTAGCTCAGCAGCATGGCACCTGCCTGGCAAGTGCGAGATCCTGGGTTCAATTCCCAGTACCAGTGAATGAATGAATGAATGAGCTTGGGTAACAGCATGCTTCTTAGGGAAGGTTATTATAGGTTGGTGCTTTGTACGACTGTCAGAAGTCATGAAGAGAGCATTCGTTCATTGACAGTCGAGTGATGCCAAATTAATTTCTAATATATCCAAAACCCTATCAAATAATGCAAGGGTCAAATGTAAGTATGGAAACATTTAAATTCTAAATGTAAATTTAGGAATGCTCAGAAGATGTTTTAAAGCAATGTTTCATAAACTTGGTATTCTTATTTGTATAACAGTAACTTACTGTTTTGCATGTTCAAAAGAATATGCAGACTTAGGAAAAATAGACAGCAAGGCTGGTCAGTCTTGCTGTCTGTTGGCAACCCTGAGGGGCTGGAGGGGGAGGGATTACATGTTGACTATAGAGTATTGGGATTTTAATTATCCATACTTCTGCTATCCCCTATGACTGCAGGTAATTGAGAGTTGGCTATATATGAAAGGTATGAAAACTATGTGACAGTTTAGATGACAGCTGAGATCAATTATTTGACTCAGCTCAGTTGTGTTGACCCATAAGGTGTCACCAATAATGTTTTATCTTTATTTTGGAAGTGGTTTTAACATGTAGTTGTTTCTTGGGACTTTGGCTGCTTGGGTCTTAGTGGTGTATCAAGCAGACTGCAGTTCTGGGCACCAGAGCTTAACTGGCCTCAGATTTGTTGGTTATCCTGCCTCCTCTGGAATGGAAATGCATGAGTGATCCTGTAATGGATACTGCTGTGATGTGAAATGAACATGGGATTTGGAGTCCCAAGACCTAGATTTAGAAATCCCTACTCTGCCACTTAGTAGCTGCGTGACCTTGAGCAAGTCACTTAACTTTTACAAGTCTGTTAATATGTAAGATTGTACTCTGGGGAGGTAATAGCCAACAGGCCCATGCAGTCAGATAATCTTTAAGAATGGCATAGCTAATACATGTGAAATGCATTTCCATGGAAGCGTATCACAGGTTGGAAAGGATTTTTGTTGACATTTGTAATTGAGTTTGATATGGAAATACAGGGACAATGTTGGTTTGTTAAACTTTGAAGCATGTAAAATTAAACTCGCCTGTCATCTAAACTGGCTATGTGTGGGGCTAGCTTCAACTATTAAGTGCAGTCTTTGGGGGATAGATGGGTAGTTTTATTTTGTTTCAAGCTATATCTAATGCTTTCACAAAAAGCATTTAAATGTGTATATATATAAATTGTTGTGTCTGTGTTGAGTGTTAAATTAGTTTTGTAAATAGTGGTAAAATGCTGGGGTCTTGTAAGATTGGAGTATATTGGTTGAGGTTGGGGGTAGCAGTGGTCCCTGCTTTCTTGGACCTATTGACAGTTTGGTCTTATGTAAAGCAAATTATAAGTATATATCCAAGCTTAAATAATAATTGACTCTGGTACATTTTAAATGAAAAAGAACATTATTTTCCCCTGTTAATCTATTTTTGGAATGTGATATTACTAGACTGCCATAAAGAAGAATAACCCCAGGAAGTACCTTCGCAGTGTAGGAGATGGAGAGACTGTGGAGTTTGATGTTGTTGAAGGAGAAAAGGTGAGGATGCTTTTTGTGTAAAGGTTTGACTTCAGTATGGAAATATTTTGGAGATTTCATCTGTTAGGATGGTGGCTATAATGTGGATGGATGTGTTCAGGTGACTATATGAACACAGGCACATCAAGCCTAATGTGCTGGCTACAGTTAGAGGGCAGTCTCTTCAGAAGAGCAAGGAGCTGACACTTAGTTGTTTCTGTGCACCCACAGACAGCACACCCTGCCCTAAATTTTAAGTTTTGTCCTTTGGGTTTTTTTCCCTAGCTTTGTGTGAAGTTTGTTGACAGTATTCCCATTTCCTTTTTCACTATCAATAATATTAATGACTTTTGTAGGGTGCGGAGGCAGCAAATGTTACAGGCCCTGGTGGAGTTCCAGTTCAAGGCAGTAAATATGCAGCAGACCGTAACCATTATAGACGCTATCCACGTCGTAGGGGTCCTCCACGCAATTACCAGCAGAATTACCAGAATAGTGAGAGTGGGGAAAAGAATGAGGGATCGGAGAGCGCTCCCGAAGGCCAGGCCCAACAACGCCGGCCCTACCGCAGGCGAAGGTTCCCACCTTACTACATGCGGAGACCCTATGGGCGTCGACCACAGTATTCCAACCCTCCTGTGCAAGGAGAAGTGATGGAGGTAAGTCTCAGCAAAAAGGAAATGGGTCTGAGGCATTAACTCTTACATTCGGGATTAATTCTTCTGGATTTTTCACTCTTACTGTTATTAATGCAGTAGGTTTGATTTCTCTTGTTTTTTCAGGGTGCTGACAACCAGGGTGCAGGAGAACAAGGAAGACAAGTGAGACAAAATATGTATCGAGGATATAGACCACGATTCCGCAGGTATGGCCAATATTAACTGATTTCTTTTAAATTCCTCAATTGTAAGCACTCAGCAGAATCATATTCTCTAGCAGCCTTTTTGAGGTAAAGATCTGTTAACACTTCACATTTTCTTTCATCAGATACCTGAGTTGAATCTCAAGTCAGTTTGTTTTGATAATGTGATCTTTGCATCTTCCTGACAGTGTTTAAAAATAGCTTGTATGGAAGAGGTCTGCTTTAGCTACCCGTGGTGGCTCACGCCTGTAATCCCAGCACTCTGGAGGCAGAGGCAGGAGGATCGTTGAGAGTTCAAGACCAGCCTAGGCCACAGAGTGAGCTCAAGGCCAGCCTGAACTGCACAGCGAGAACCCTGTCTCAAAAAGACCAAAAAAAAGAGCTCTGCTTTATATGTAATTGTTTTGGGGTTTGTGTGGGTTTTTTTTTTTTTTTTTTTGTGCTGGGGATCAAATTCACAATCTCACTTTTTTTTGCCAAGCAGACACTTAGGCCACCGAGCTAAACTCCCAGCCCCTTTTTGTTCTTGTTTTGTTTCATTTGTTTTTTGAGACAAGGTCTTGCTATGCAGTTCATACTGGCCTTGAGTTCTTGAACAGGTAAGAATAGCTTAAACCTGTTTCCTAGGCAGAAAAGAAAAGGTGGTCTTACAAGCATTAGGACCATGGCATACACAAAAAATAAATTTTATTAATCCCTTTTCAACTTAGGTATGCACTAATTTTGTCCCCTAAGTCACACAGTAAAAGCACTCTATTATAAATATATTTTGGTGGTTGAGAGAGGAGGAACCAATCCCAGAATATTAACCAGCATGCCTACATGGGTATTAAATACTTAATTGTAAGGTAGTTATTAGAATAAGAAGTCCATGAACCAAGCATATTTCAGTACATGGTATTATATATCTTAAAGCAGGGTTTCCAGTCCCAAAGTACAATAGAATAGTGTGGTAATTCTTCAGAGTTATTTAGGAATTATGAGGGATCTAATTGAAATTGCACTGTATATATATCAGATAAGAATCTGGTGCACATCAAGAATTTTTGCATTAGCAGCTAATGTCCTTGATCATACTTTTTCTTAGTGTATGTTTTGCCTGAGTTAACAGAAATGAACCAAACCCTAAGAGGAAGTTTCTGGTTCAGTTATGTGCAAAAAGATTGTATTGGCTGTGTTGGTGTCATAAATTCCCTTGTCCAATGGCAACGGTCATTTTTGAAGCTGACTAATTACAGGGTTTTGTTTATCTTGACCTGAACTGTGGCTCAAACTCTGAACCCAGATATGGATTATTATTGAAATAATGTAGTCAGAACTACCACAAGATCATGTCTTAAAATCTAAAGCAGGAACTTAGTATCTTAATCCATGGCTGAGACCTTGTCTTAAAAAGCAAAAACAGATTAAACAACCTCATGTTTTGTTTTGGATACCAGGAATCAAACTCAGGACCTCGTGCTTGCCAAGCAGGCACAGTACCATTGAGCTACATCCCTGGCCCTCGTTTTTAACACAAAGTAGCTGTTACTGTGTGGTAGTTACTATAGTCATGAAACACATTTTTTCAACTCTGCAGTGAGAGTGGCAGTGTGGAGCTTTCCAGCCAGGAACTCATGTAAATGAGCAGTGAATGAAGCACGTGGTCCCTATGGGATGCATGGAGTCAGGCATGAAATTCTGCCTGGTGAAGATCCAAGAATGTATAGAAAGAGGAATCCTAAGATGCTTTGTTGGAATGGAAACAGATAGGTGGTAGTAAAGGGGAAATAGGAGATCAAAAACCATTTTTATTTATTGGAAATGAAAACATTCATAGACTGAAAAGTAAAATTGATAGACAAAAGGCGGCTGAGTCAAAGAAGTAAAATGTTTAGGACATTGACCCTAACCCTCTCTAGAAGAGGACAGAAAATTTAAGTAGTGATTACAAGTGTAAGCTGAATCCACCCAGCAGAGTCATTTTTCCAGTCATTTGACTGGCATACTCAGTTGTACAAACTTGGCATTGGTCTATCCACGTGAAGGTGGAGAAGTAGGGGTGGAACATGTGAGTTCAAATGAACTTTTTGGGGATGAAGGACTGAAAAATATTGAAGGAGAGTAATTGAAGAGTCACATGCTCAAAATTAGAAAACGAGGCTGGGGGTTTAGCTCAGTGGCATAAGCGCCTGCCTTGAAAGCAGGCAGTCGTGAGTTCAATCCCCGGTAACGATAAAAAGGAAAAGGACTGAATAAATAAATAAATAAAACTCAGAAAACATCAATATGAGGTCAGCAGTCTAAAAGAACAGATTATTAGAAACTTATCTGAAACTGCAGTAGAAATAGGGTAAGGCTACAGAGTAGCCTAAGGTTGAAGGCCTCTAATTTTTTGAAGCAAACAGGAAGAGCTGATTTACTAACCACAGTAGTATGGTAAAACAGCTATCATTTGGACAGCAGAGGAAAAACCAAAGCACTTCTGGGTCGAAAAGATGAGGTTTCAGGAGGAGAGGGCTAAGATGAGCAGGTGGGAATTACGGAGGATTTAGAGTCTAAAACAGAATGCGGAGAGGTAAATGTGAACTTGAGCTATGATCTTGGTAGTCCTAGGATTTTCGTGTTGTTATGAGTATGAATGGGGAAAAGGATAAGCATGTATCATTCCCTAATCATTACCCCCCAAAATAGTATCTTGATTGGCGGTGAACTGTCTTAATTCAGGCCATTGGAAGTGATATGTTAATGGAATGTTCCATTTGAAACCTGGTTGTTTTAAAGTGTACAACAACCATCTATCTGGTTGTGGGCTGTTTTGTTTTTGGTTCATTTGAATTTTGGGTGTTTTGTTTTGGTCTTTTTAATATAGGGTTTCTGTAGTACAGTTCAGGCTGATCTCGAAATTGAAGTGATCCTCCTGTCTCAGTCTCCCAAGTGCTGGGATTTACAGGTGTGCACCACCATGCCTGGCTAATAACTTCCTGGCTTTTAATCTACTTTCTGTCTTGTTATAATTTACTCTGGACATTTCATGTATGGAGTTATATGGTGTGTCTTATTTCTGGCTGCTTTGACATAGCACAGTGTTTTCAAGGGTTTTTTATTTTGTTTGCATCAGCTTTGATTCTCTTATGGCCAGTCATGTTGTATTTGCATGAGTGTGCTGCTTTTCCCCAGTTTTGACGGCTGTTTGGGTTGTTTCCGCTGTCTGGCTTTTGGAAATATGATTCACAAGTTTTTGTACATAGTCTCTCGGGTAACTTGGAGAAGCTGCCAGAAGGACAGACTGGTGTTTATTAGTATGAGGGAGACATTTCTTTTTGATTTCCCATTGTTTAAGCAAGTACTTTTCAGTAAAGGTTAGTGGCACCTGCATTCAAACTTTGGTACGATAAAGCCCATTTTAAAATCTTTTACATTAAAGTGTGATATTGTTAACTATTAGCTAGTTGGTGACTGATTTTGTAATATATTAGCCGATTTTTTGAGTCCACTTTTTAATTGACATGTAATATTTATGAATGTTAATGGGGTACAGTATATTCAGAGATATATACAGAATATAATCAGGTTGGGTTAATTAGCATTTTCACCTTGTTGAACATTTATCTGCTTTGGTGCCTTTGGACTCTTCGTTATTTTGAAATAAAATTCTTAATAGAAAGACTGGCTTTTTGTTTGTTTTGAGACAGGGTCTCACAGCCTGGTTTTGAACTCACTTTGTAGCCCAAGCTGGCCTTGAATTTGGTGATCTTCCTGCCTCAGGTTCCTGAGTGCTGGAATTACAGGCAGGTGCCACCACACCAGCAGAACTAGTTTTTGGAGACAGGGTCTCAGTGTGTACTCCAGGCTAGTCTCAGACTCAGTGATCCTCCCATCTCAGTCTTCAGAGTTAGAGGGATTACAGGTGTACAACACCATGCCCCAGACTGTGAAACTGATTTTAAATATTCATCTTTCATCTCCTTGTATAAAATGTCCACACTCACTTTATAAACTAAATATGCTCTTAGTTTTTGTTAAACTTTCTGCACACTACTTTAATCACACACATGACCAGATAGTACTATTTATTGTACTCGACTGTGCCAAATATTTACTGGCCCTGTATGCAGATTGAAAAAAGAAGTTGGTGTTAATCATTTGTAAGTTTTCCTTGTGTTCATTTCAGGGGCCCTCCTCGCCAAAGACAGCCTAGAGAGGACGGCAATGAAGAAGATAAGGAAAATCAAGGAGATGAGACCCAAGGTCAGCAGCCACCTCAACGTCGGTACCGTCGCAACTTCAATTACCGACGCAGACGCCCAGAAAACCCTAAACCACAAGATGGCAAAGAGACAAAAGCAGCCGATCCACCAGCTGAGAATTCGTCCGCTCCCGAGGCTGAGCAGGGCGGGGCTGAGTAAATGCCGGCTTAACATCTTTACCATCATCCGGGTGAGTGGGTGTGGCTGACTGCACTTTAGGAATGTTGAGAATTGACCGTATTTGGCCCCTCTAATCTGAATAACTTCTGTGGTTTCACCAGTAAGCTGAGGAAAGAGTTTTGGCTAACCGTGCTCTGAGAAGTATGTTAATTACACTGTTATGTATGCTTCATTTGTTTTAATGGACTAAACACTTGGGATTTTGAAAATTTTTATTGGCACATCTTAGCTATATGTAGTAACATTCATAAGGTATTTGTACGTGTACATAACTTTGCATAATATATTTGTTGCTGCTTTTCATCTCATTCGCCTTCCCTTCAATGCCTCTTGTCTACAGAAGCCTTGTTTCCATTTTTTTCCCTTATATTCTTCCCATTTCCCAATTTCTCCAGCAGATGTTGGTCCTTATTTTTGGTTTTGCACACCAGAGAAACAATGCAGTATTTAAATGTGCATCTGCTTTGTTTCACTTGAGTATGGCACAAGGTGATCCTTCTTTATGGGAGAATAGTACTCCATTGTATTTTTTTGTGTGCCTGTGTCAGGTACAAACTTGTGACCTTTTGCTTACCAGACAGGTCCTTATGCCACTGAGCTATATCCAGCCCCTCCATTGTAGTTTTAAAGACACTTCTTTGTCCATTGATGGGTATTTGGTCCATTTCAAGATTTAGCTATTAAACACTGTGCCGCTATAAACAGGTGTGCATATCTCTGGCATGATGTTTTTTAAGGGAAGAAGAAAGAACTCGGGCAAATAGAACCTCTAGTTTAGTTTTTTGAGGAATCTTAATGATTCCTACAGTGGTTGTACCAATCTGCATTCCCACCAACAGTGAACAAGGGTTCCTTTTTGCCTACAGCCCCACCAGCACCAGTTATTAATTTTTTTTTATGATCCATTCTTTCTGGAGTGAAATGGAGTCTTAGTGTTTTAATTTGCATTTCTTTTGTGTGTGTGTGTGTGTGGTACCCGGCATCAAACTCACAAACTTGCACTTACCAGGCAGGCACTTACAGCACTGAACTAAATCCCTGGCCCTAGTTTGCACTTCTTAAATGACGGCTAGGTTGAACATTTTTTCATATTTTTCTTTGCCACCTCTAATTGATCTGAGAATTATCTACTCATTTCAGATTCCTGTTTTTAGACTGGTTCTTTAAATTTGATAGGATCTGATTTTTTTTTTGTCCTTTAAGTTCTTTACATATTTTAGATAATCCATACCTGGAGGAATATTTGACAAAAAATATTTTCCCATACTGTGGGTTGTCTCTGTACTCTGTTGGTGTTTTTTGCTGTGTAAAATCTTTTTAGTAAGGTGAGATCCTACTTGTTGATTCTTTGGGATACTTCCTGTGTGATTGGGATTTTGTTCATAAATTAGTCTTTGTTTACACCTATGTCTTCTAAAGCTCTACCTATTCTATCTTCCAGATTTAGTATTTCTGTTTTAGATCTTTGATCCATTTCAATTTCAGTGTGGTAAATGGTGAAAGATAAAAGTCTAGTTTTAACCTTTTGAGTGTGGAAAGGCAGTTTTTCTATCACTTTAATAAAGAGGCTGTCATTGTTCAAATGATATTTGTATGCTGTATCTTTAAAAAGAAATGAAGTTATTAGAACCTGTAGCGTGGATAATGATGCCAGGCAATCAGCTTAATTTTGCTGTTGAGAAAGATGGGAGATTTTTATTTCTAACATGGTTTGACTTCTTGGTCTTTAGAATGACTTGTGTTTTATTAAAGATTCCCGTTTTCTGGCAGATTAAACATGGTACATTTTTGTTTCCATTATTGTAAATTGGGCTGAGGATTTAACTCAGCTGCACTGTGCCTGCCTGGCAAGCACGAGGTCATGAGTTCAATATCCAGTACCAAAAAGAAAAAAACATTATCATAGGTTATTTTGTTATCTTTAAATTCCCAAATTAAGGTGGAGGTTTGTGTGTATAGCTTGTTAATTGATATCAAAAGACATAATTGTATCTGGCTCTGGAATTGTGTTCAGCCAATGGTACTTGAGTTTTTTCCCATGGCAGAAAGTGATCCTTTCTGGTTGTGAGCTGCTTATTTTAGGTTAAACCAATGGTTTGTTAAATGTTTCCTTATCCAGAGCTGATGATAGCCTGAGCATTGGTACATTTAAACAAGCATTGCAATGAGTTGTGTATTGCTAACCTTTTATTTATTTTTTCTTTGCAGTTTAGTCATCGAGCAAGAAGAAACGAATAGGAAATTCCAGCAATAAGAAATGAACAAAAGATTGGAACTGAAGACCTTAAGTGCTTGCTTTTTGCCTGTTGACCAGATAACTAGAACTATCTGCATTATCTATGCAGTATGGGGTTTTTATTATTTTTACCTAAAGATGTCTCTTTTTGGTAATGACAAACGTGTTTTTTAAAAAAGCCTGGTTTTTCTCAATACACCTTTAAAGGTTTTTAAATTGTTTCATATCTGGTCAAGTTGAGATTTTTAAGAACTTCATTTTTAATTTGTAATAAAAGTTTACAACTTGATTTTTTCAAAAAAAGTCAACAAACTGCAAGCAACTGTTAATAAAGGTCTTAAATAATTGTCTTTGTGTATATCTGTGGTTTTGTGTTAGCAAGTCTTTCATTGATCATAGGACCTTTAGCTTGAAGCAGCCTGCAGGTGGATAATACAGATCAAGGAAAACCTGTGATCCTTTTCTTACAGGTTCATGGTAAAAATTAGAAAATAATGTACTTGATAAATGGCCTGTTTTTCATTTAAGGATGAGCTTGTCAGGAATGCTCCATAGAAATGGTAACATAGTATAAATTTTGTGAAGGTTTTTTGATGGGACCTGTTCTCTAGCATAGACTGACTAGATTTGATTTCCTGTTCCACTTAGCAGTCATTGTAACAGAGTTGTTTCAACTGCCAGTTGTCAGTCTCCCTTGCTGGAATTATAGACATGCACTTTCTGCTCTACTTTCAGAGCCCAGGGGAAGACACGGTGGGTTCACGGGATAAGAAACAGTCTATCCAGAGGCCATGTAGTATTGTACAAGTCCAGTCAATGGGGCCTTTTTCCAGAACATGCTCAGGATTCACAGAACAGATCATACTGGACTCAAGACTTGTGTGAGTATGGTAGACAAATAAGTTGTCTCCCATTAGCATTTGCTGAATGTCTTACAAATGGACCTTTTGTGATAGAGCCTGAAAACGTGAAAAGAGCATTTTTACCCCATTTAGTTGTAGTTCATGCTACAGAAAGTGTTAGCACCCATATCTTGTTGGTAACTTCTCAAATACCCAGTGTTGAGGAGAGTGTAGTGGAGAGCTTTAGCATTACTGATGGTAAGATGCTTATAATTGCATGTATATGGTTTACAGTTGGACTCCCAAATGTCTCACTTGCTCATAGGCAGAGCTTTTTGAAAAATGATTAAATCATGAGGGCACTGGTCAAATGTGTTACTGGGTGGGATACTAGGGAACCCGGTGGTGAGGTGGGGTGAGGTAGGTAACCTGGAAGAGTAACATTTCCTGGCTCCTAGATACTTTGCTTCCTGACCATTGCAAGGGGAGCAGCTTTGCCTTTTAAGCTGTAGGTGTCATATTTTGTCCTAGAGACAAGGAAAGACTTTATGTAGTAGTAATGGAGACCCTGGCAATATTGGTTGAACAGCTAGTGTTAAATGCTTAAAATAAGAAAAGTTAGGATAGATCCTGTCTTGATTTTTGTAAGGATTTCAGAGTCTGTCTTTGTAAGACAACCCAGCAAGTGTGGCTAGGGTGTAAGTTGAGACCTTGGCCTCCCAGTCAGATACAGCAGTGTGAGATTGGCAAAGTGACTGCACACTCCATTTTGCTGGAGAGGGTGGGATCTCTCCTGCTAGAGCAAGTGGCTTCTTGGGCAAATCCCCCTTGTATTCTCTACCCTGGAGCCTGATACAGAGAGCTGGTCATGATTCCATTCTGAAAACTGACTAGAGCAGTGAGCCAAGGGCAAGTGGGAAGGGATTCTGTGTCCTGTCTTCCCAGACTGTTCTCCCTTGAAAATAACCAAAGGCTGCTTTCCATTATGGTTTCTGTTGGTATTGTACTGGAGGGCGTATAGCAAACCAACCTATGGCACATGTATTACTGTTTCCTTTTAAGGTAAAAGAAGAGTTTTTTCTAAATTGTAGAAGTTGTGTTGGCACCTTTGTGTTAAGTGAACTTTGGGTTCAGTTTGGTCACTTGGTCTAAAGCTCACCATCATTGACGTGAGTGCAGTCAAAAGTAGGGAAGAACTGGGAAGGACACTGCAGCTACCGCTGGCTACAAAGATAAACTAGAACTCACTAAGAATTGGCTAAGCCATGTTTCTGTATATGCACATGCATAATGGTATTTAGGAAATTAAAGGATCTCTGGGAAGGAGTCCCAATGTTGAGATGGTTAAGGATGGTTTTTCATGTTGGGTACTGACGAGTATGGCATTTCCTCATTCAGTGTTTTGATATGCCAGGTTTTAGAAAGCAAACAGGCTTTTTCAAAATGATTGCTGTCAGGTAGAGGGTTGGATTTAAGTGCCAAGCACATACAGAAAATGAAAGCATGTCCTTGTGAAAGTAAATACATAATTGACACTTGCCCTCCCAGGTCCAGGGCTGAGTCCTGAATGGCCAAATAAAATCAGTGGTGTGGGGCAGGTGGGTTGGCTTCACAGAGTACTTCCGGAGCTGGAAGTTTAGAAAGTGGCTGCAAGCTGGGCCAAGGTGTGGTGCAGTTAACTCCTAACAACAAAAGTGGGTTGTGACTGCCAGAGGAGGAAGAAAAGTGATTAGATGTGAAGAGGTCAGCAATCAGCCATGGTGGTATGCAGCTCTTCTGTGTGGGTGTTAGCAAATTGCCACAAGTGGTCATTGAAACAGCAGGTATTAAAAGGATGGTGTTGGTGACTCAGGATAAGTTTAGTTCAAAGACAGACAGCAGGGAAGTTGGGCTCTTTGAGGGCTTAGAGTACAGGAAGGAAAAGTTTAGAAATGGCACTGGTATAAATAATGCAGTTGCCACCACAGGCTCTGGTATTTGGGGTGGGGTGTGGACTCCAAAGTAAGGCATGTCCAAGGGTGAGTGACAGGACACTGCGAACAGGTGAGGCTGGTGACTGCGTTCTGGAAGACAGAGGGTTGGGAGGGGGCTTTCTTGGCCCTGTAAGGAAATGGTATGGTACACAGCTGTAGTTCAGCATTTTGTGTGACAGCTCAGAAAAGGGCTTGGTGGTGGGGTAGGCTGGTACCCAGCTAGTGTAATGCAAGAAATGTTCAGTCATGAGGTTTGGAGGAAGGGTTACCATTGGCCTTGTAGTGAGACTGGATTGTGACTAGGAAAGGCTGCTGAGAGCTCTGCCTGTGAAGGGTGTCCATGCACAGCTCATGAGGACCTTATCCTTTCCAACCTGGCTGTTAATTTGTAAAGGTAAAGTTACAGATGTGAATAGGTAGACTGCTGGCTTGTACCATATTTACCCCTAGCCCTGTAAATTTTTTGTCTTGTCACAGGTACTCTTTACAGCCCTTTTTTGCACTGTTTTTTTCTGTCTGGGCTAAAGAACTTTTTTGACACTAGGTACTCTGGATTTTTTTTTTTTTTTAATTGGTGCCGGGGATCGAACTCCCGACTGCCTGCTTGCAAGGCAGGTGCTTATGCCACTGAGCTAAATCCCCATCCCTGCAAATTTCATTTTACAATGTTTATTCTGGGGCTAACAGTTTGATAACAAGTGACCAATCTGGACATTGTTACAGATGTCCAGATAAGTGATGAGACCTGAGCCAGAAATATTACAGAAAGGGGGTCAAATCTGAGGTGTTTTCAGCAATGGAGTTGAACGCAGGAATGAGGAGTGCATTGGTGCACATTGTCATTTGCCTGTGCAGGGTTGGGAGGGGGCTGTGAGTTGAGCTTGCACGAAGAGGGTGAGGTTCCTATAAGCCCAAGGCGTGCGGGAGGCACAGTGAGGTGCAGGCTGAAGCCGAGTGGCCCATTAGGTGGCTATGAGTTAGACACTGACACTGGGGAAGAGGAGGGGCGGGACCCAGACTTCTAGGACAAGGCCAAGGGCCGGGGCAGTGGCCAGAGGTTGTGGCAGGTTGATGTGGCATGTTGTAGACTCCTAGACAGCAAATTGTGCATCAGAACCAAGAGATAAAAGGGTTGAGAATGTCAACTGGGCTTAGCAGTGAGGTGGCTGCTTGTAAGGGCAGGTCCCCAAAGGCAACTGTTAGGACTGCAGCAGCGAGCCTGCTATCTATCCCCCCAGCCTTGCCTGCGCAGTAATAGCTGTTTCATCCTGAGGATCTAGAACCCTCAGTAGTCCAGGAGTCTGCAGATTTGCTGACGCTGATCACTACCAGACACTCAGGACTTGACCTGCACCATTGCTCACCTGGATGGCTGGGTAGCCTCCTGAGTGAGCTCCTTGCCTCTTTCCTACCTTAGAACTGTTAGGCCTTGGGATGCTCATGCTTAGAACCCTACAAAAACCATCCTGTGTCCCCGAACCATGTTCTGCTCTCGTCTGATTTACTCCAACCAGCCTCACAGGTTCCATTTCCTTCAGCAAGCCAGGCACTCCAACCACTTGCTTGTCCTCCTCGGCTGGAAGAACGTTCTCCCAGAGGATGACCTGGCATTTCTCAAAACCATCCTTTAGGTCTTTACTCAGGAAGGCCTTTCAAGCCTACCTTGTTGGAACAGGCAGCCCTTTCCTGTGTCCCACGCTCTCCTGAATTCCTTGCCTGCTTGACTTCCCATGAACCATAGCCTCTGCTAATCTATTACTCACTGTCTAATCTATTTCCTGTCTCTGGTAAAAAGTAAGCTCCCAGGCTGGGGGTTTAGCTCAGCAGCATAAGTGCCTGCTTGGCAAGTGCAAGGTCATGAGTTGGAGCCCCAGTACCAAAAAAAAAAAAAAAAAAAAAAAAAAAAGCTCCATAAGAGCAGAGATTTTTGTTTCGCTCATTGCCACTACTGTATCTAGCATCCACAACGAGGCTGAAAGAGTATAGAACAAAAGCTCAGTATGTAGAAACTAATAAATTATAAGTGACCATGAGGAGACTTGGCAGTGGGATGAAGAAAGTTACGGCTGTGGCTAGAGAAGAGGGTAGGTAGTGTGAACATATGTCAGCCTGCCTGGGCAGTTGTACCTGGGTGGCTTAAGCACAGACGATTCTGGAGATTGGGAAGTCAAAGCAAGGTTGGACTTGACTCAGGGTTTGCAGAAGGCCGCTTACCATGTATTCACCATGGCAGAGAGACAGAGTTTTTGATATCTCCTAGAAGGGCACCAATCCCTCATGACTTCCCTCATGTAAACCTAATTTCTGCTGTAACTTGAATTTGGAGTCCCAGGTGTTCAGTAAAGCCCGGCCTCCAGCTCATGGCCTCCTAGGAGATGGTGGAACCTCTAAGAGGTAGGACCTGGAGGGAAGACTCAAGTCACTGAGGGAGCACTAGCACTCTCAAAGGGAACCGTAGGCCTTTGGTCCCTTCTCGCCTGTCCTGGCTGAGGTAAGCAGTCTGTTCCACTGTGCACTCTGTGCTGAGATATACTG